CCAAACCCCCCACCCCCAACCCCCCCAACCCCAAACCCCAAAACCCCAACCCCCACCCCCCACCCACACCCCAAACCCCAAACCCCAAACCTGATCCCCACTTCCCCAAACCCCAAACCCCAAACCCCAAACCCTGAACCCCCGCCCCCCCACCCCCCCCCCCCCCCAAACCCCCACAACCCCAACCCCAACCCCCGCCCCCCCACCCAACACCCAACCCCAAACCCCAACCTGATCACAACCCCAATTCCCAAAAAACCCCAAACCCCACCAAAACCCCAAACCCAAAACCCCAACCCCCCCCCCCCCCCACCGCCCCAAACCCAAACCCCAACCCCAACCCCAAACCCCAAACCCCAAAACCCCAAACCCCAACCCCAACCCCACCCCACCCCAAACCCAAACCCCCAAACCCCCAAACCCCAAACCCCAAACCCCCCAAACCCCCCCAAAGCACCACCCCCCCAAACCCCAAAACCCCAAAAACCCCCAAAACCCCACCCCCCACCCCCAAACCCTAAACCCCAAACCCCAAACCCAAATCCCGCCCCAATTCCCCCACCCCAAACCCCAAACCATCCCCAACCCCAAACCCGAAACCCGAAACCCCAACCCCAAACCCCCCCCCCACCCCCCACCCAAACCCCAAAACCCCAAACCCCAACCCTGATCCCCAATTCCCCAAACCCCCAAACCCCCACCCCCAAACCCCAAACCCCCACCCCCCCCCACCCCAAACCCAAACCCCCCCCAAACCCCCAAACCCCAAACCCCAACCCCCGATCCCACATTCCCAAACCCCAAACCCCAAAACCCCAACCCAAACCAAACCCCACCCCAAAACCCCAAACCCCACCCCAAACCCCAAACCCCAAACCCCAAACCCAAAACCCCAAAACCCCAAAACCCCAAAACCCCAAACCCCAAACCCCAATGAGATGAGTCCTTGGTAGCCCAGCGGTACCCTTTCCCCCTTTTTGGATTCTGGGTTTTCTTAGAAAGTAACCAGCCAAAAAAGGGTGCCCTGATTATAATATGCTTACTGGGCTACCTTAAACCCTAAAGCCTGAAACCTAAACCCTAAACCCTAAACCCCACATGAGATGAGTCGGAAGGCGCCAGCAAGCACGGACACTTGCTTGGCCGAGCGGCAGGGCCGTGAGGCGCATTGGCCAGCCATTTCCCAGCTTTTTGAGGTTGTTTGGGCTTCTTTTGGGCTTGGGTTTAGGGTTTGGGGTTTGGGGTTTGGGCTTCGGGGTTTGGGGTTCGGGGTTCGGGGTTTGGGGTTTGGGGTTTGCAGCTTCGTGGATGTTAGGGCATTTGAGTTTAGGGTTGTTGAGTGGCTGTGTTTTTGTTGCTGTTTTCGTGTTCAAGGTCTAGTTTCGGGTTTGGGGGCTCAGGGTTCAGGATTGCTGATTGGCACTCTCAGGCTCTCAGGTTCAGGGTTTTGGGTTGTGGCTTATACTAACAGTCCTTCACAAAGGGATTATAGTACCCCCGATTACAATCCCTATTAAGGTCCTTTGTAGCTGAGTGAGTACACTTTACACTTTTAGGTATACTATGGTCCCCTATGGAACTGAAAGTGTACACTTTTGGGGGCTTATGACAACTAAGGTCTGTAAGAATAAGGGGGAAAAGTTTTGGGGTTTGAGGGGCAAGTGCTGACAGGACTTTATCTGAGGCCCATGCAGGGCGTCGAGTTAAAGTGGGTGCGTTCAGGTCTCTGTCAGGGTGCCAGGCTGTGAACAGGGTTTAGGGTTTAGGGTTCAGGGTTTAGGGTTTAGGGTTTAGGGTTTAGGGTTTAGGGTCCCCAGCTCAGTGGCAGGAACACCGATGCACCTGCCAAGCGTTGTGTCTGAACCCCATCAGTGTGAGACTAAGCCCTAAATCCCCTCAACCCTTAAAGGCCCTAAAAACCCCTAGACCCTTAGAAAGGAAAACAGTTCATTGGGCGGTCTGTTTTGTTCTCTTTACTGCACAGGGCGGCCGCGAAGCCGGAAGCGCCTTGTCTGTATCATGCGCATGAAATGCTCTCGATCGAGTGCAGCACTGACTGCAGCGTGGTGGTGTTTTTTCGAGCAGCTCATCTGGCCTTGCTTTCAAGTCTTTCAGCATAGCCACTAGTGCAATCCAGCGCAAGCAAGTTGAGCATGCGATTGACTTCGGAGCTCCCAATCAGGGCCGTCTGTTGCTATGCCGGCATGTGATGGGTCTACCAGGCATGGAGCTCTGGCTTTCTGGAGGTGTAGCGATGCATTCCAAACTTCTAAGTGAGACGAAAGCTGGCGCAGGTCTTTCCACGCAGCGCCTGTGCCGATTCGCACCCCTGCGGAGCCTCTAGCCACAGACAAGTCGAAGGTGGCATGATCTTGAAACCCTAAACCCTACACCCTACACCCTGAACCATAAACCCTGAGACCTAAGCCCTAAGCCCTACACCCTGAAACCCTAAACCCTAAGCCCTAAACCCTAAACCCCAAGCCCTAAACCCTAAACCCTAAACCCTAAACCCTAAACCCTAAACCCTAAACCCTAAACCCTAAACCCTAAACCCTAAACCCTAAACCCTAAACCCTAAACCCTAAACCCTAAACCCTAAACCCTAAACCCTAAACCCTAAACCCTTCACGTGCAATGGCGGACGCGCTAAGGCGCTCCATCTCAGACTTTTGCGACGATGCGCCGGCGGAAGACGAGGGAGAAGCCGAGAAGGCGGAGCAGGCCGAGGACCCGGGAGGTCCGTTTTTACAACTACAGCAGCACCTGTTCACAAAAAATCGGGTTTAGGGTTTAGGGTTTAGGGTTTAGGGTTTAGGGTTTAGGGTTTAGGGTTTAGGGATATCAAGGTACCCTACAGTGATACAAAACCCCATGTGCCTATGGGTGGGCTGGCTGTAAGGCTGTTGAGTGGGCAACAGGGCATTTTTTAAGTGTGCGAACCCCTAAGGGCCTGCCTAGAGTAACATTTGTCCCCTTAAAAAGGAGCAATGTGCCTTCTTTCATTTAGGACGTTTGTGCTGCAAGTTAACCCTGTTCGGTTCTGGGTTCCTTTGTAAAGATGACCAAAAGGATGAACACCCTAAACCCTAAAGGCCCTAAACCCTGAACCCCAACCCCTAAATCCTAAACCCTAACCTCGATATTGTACCTTCTGCTAAGGTACAAGGTTACTCTAAGCCTAAACCCTAAACCCTAAACCCTAAACTCCTATCTTGTGTCCAGGAGAATCGAGCGCTGGACCCTCCAGAAGGCCTGGCTTTGCATTTTGGCTGTGAGACCATGAGGGATGTCACTTCCCTGAACCCATAAAAGCCCTGCATGGTGGGGTTTAGAACTTAGGGTTTAGGGGTTCGGGGTTAGGGGTGAGGGGTTTGGGGGTTAGGGTTTAGGCTTTAGGGCTTTAGGGGTTTAGGGTTTAGGGCTTATGGCTTAGGGCTTAGGGATGTTAAAGCCCTCAGAAGAGTTCGCGCTGCCGTGCAGGAGAGGACACGTGGTTCGCCTGGCTAGGCCGGCAGATGCTAGGGCTTGGGCCACCTTCGAGCCAAAGCACCAGCACTGGCCATCGTCGAGCGATTAGCTAATCCCTAGGGTTTAGGGTTTAGGGTTTAGGGGTTTAGGGGTTAGGGTTTAGGGTTTAGGGATTCCCTAAGTCGTAAACCCTGAACTTCAAGCATGTTATGAAGCTTTCATCGACCGTGGGCGTGTTGCAACGAAGAGCACCCCGCTTTCCACAAACAGCCCCCAAGCCAACACGTAAAACCTCACTAGTTTTCTGAGGTCAGGGGTACTGGGCTTCGTGCACCCAAACTAGGTGTAGACCTCGACCCAAGGCGTTTTGTGTTTAGTGTTTAGGGTTTAGGGTTCAGGGGGGCCTCCGAGAGTTTAAAGTTTAAGGCACCCGAAGGCTTGTTTTGGCAGGTTTTGTTTAAAGCGGAAGCTCCTCTCGGAAGGTCAGTTCTAAGCATGACCGCCCCAATCTAAAACCCTAAACCCTAAACCCTAAACCCTAAACCCTAAACCCTAAACCCTAAACCCTAAACCCTAAACCCTAAACCCTAAACCCTAAACCCTAAGCCGTCCTAAGTACAGGGGGCCGTATTACATGAGTGCCAAGACTCCCCCGCAGCCTCCCTTGGAGGTGCTCTCTATGGCTGAGTGCATAGACTGACGCCCTGCGTCGGCTCTCGAAAAGCTGCGTGCTTGGACCTCCTTTTACCCTAAACCCTAAACCCTAGGGTTTAGCCCAAACACGTTTAGGGTGGGGAGAACGTGGGCTGAAGCTTACACCCTTAAGCCCTGAAGCCCTTAACCCTGAAACCCTAAACCCTAAACCTTTGCAGCCCAAAGGCCAAAAGCTGTGTAGCCTTCCTGGGCTGAAGCCACAGCCCGAAAAACCTGAAGCTTTTCGCGCCTTAAGGTGTGAAGTTTTCCCTGAAGCCTATGCCCTTAAAGCTTGCAGCCTTAGGTGGGTTTAGGGTTTGGGGTTTAGGGTTTAGGGTTTTCGTGACTTCCTTGGCTGAAGCCAATGCCATAAAGCTTGAAGCCTTCGCTGAACCTCAGAGAGCCCTGTACCTGAGTGCAACATGAATTCTAGGATGTCCAGTAGTACCCTTATTCCCTTTTTTGGGGGGTTTAGGTTCCCTTATAAACCCCTTTAAGCAAAAAAGGGCACCCTTCCCATGAATAAGTAGTGGATGGAGCTCTTCACTCCGGCAGCTAGGCGAACCAACAAGGCCGGGGAAGCGTGTGCCCGCTCTTTGGCTCAGACATGATCTTTGTTTTGTTCTGCTACTATTGTCTTTGCTGTGAATGATCCTTTGCCTTGTTTGTTACTGTTGCTATTGAGCTAGTCTCACTATGATGCGTCAGTCAGGCCCACTCGCAAAGCCTGCACACGATCAGAAGTCATTCGTGCAGCAGGAGACTATTTGGGGGGGGTCTATTTTAGGGGTCCCCTGCTTTCGTAAACCCCCCATATGTCGAGTTGAATTTATGCCATGAAGTCGGAGCCGTTGCTCCCGGCTTTCCAGCCGCAGCCCAAAGACAGCCGCCTGGGCACCTGGACGACACAATGTCGTGGCTTTGCCGAACGATCCGCCACTCGGCCACGCTTCGCGATAGCCTCGTCCCGGAAAAGATGTCAAAATCAAGAGTCCTCAGCTCTAAACCGCAAGTGGGCTCCCCCTTTTGTAGTTTCTATTATAATATCCCCCAAAACCGAGTCTAACTATTGAGCCCCTTTGTTTGCTCAAGTCCACGGGAGCGTTCCCGTCTCAGGGGGGTGATCTGTCTGCCTTTGTGAACTTGCAAGGATTGGCTGGCCCTCTTCCTAGGGCCGGCGATATCTGTGCCTTTTGCCACCTGCTACGCAGCGTTGGTCTGCAACGACGTTTCCATGCAAGCCAATTTTCCAGTCGTCTTGCAGCAGCGTGGCTTCTTCAGCTCTTGGCGTTCAGTTACCTGTAGGGCTAGGGGTTTCCGAAGATCGGTGTGCCATTGTGGCGTAACTTGTGCATTGAGCTGGGGCCTCCATGTGAGCAAATCGCAAGCTGTCTTGTCACGAGCACCCTAAACCATAAAACCTAAGCCCTAAACCCTAAACCCTAAACCCGAAGCATGTCTCCAAGGCAGGTTATGTGGACTCAGATGATCGGAGTCTCGTCTGTCATCCTCTATCGGAGTTCAGGGCCTCCTAAAATCGACCACTCCTGTCGTGTATTGACAGCAAGTTGGGGCAGTGTCCCTCTGAACCCTGTACCATCGGTTTGAAGAGCCAGATCGGGAAGTGGGATGCGATGACACCTTCATAAAACTATGATCAAGATTGAGAAATATATACATATATATATATATACAGATATATATATATATGTAAATATATATATATATATGTGTGTGTGTGTGTATCTCTTTTTTGTTGCTTGACAGGGCTTAAAGTTCCACCCAGTTGAGTAAGGATCCATCATTGCCCTGGTGATTGGGCAGTTCGTGACCACAACGAACTTGGACCCGCTGACTGCAATCCTCTTCGGACAGCTGGCCCGGAAAGCGGCAGCCTCGGTCTTGCTTTAGGGACTCTTTCGCTTAGGGTTTAGGGTTTAGGGTTTGGGGTTTCGGGTTTAGGGTTTAGGGTTTAAGGTTCAGGGTTTAGGGTTTAGGGTTTAGGGTTTATTCTCGTAGTTCCATCTTCTGCTGTTCAGACTCCATTGGTATTAGGCAAAACTTGTTGCATACAAGCATCCATCAAAAGGATCATGGCAAGTTGTGAGAAAAATCTAGCTGCCCTAAACCCTAAACCCTAAAGGCCCTAAACCCTAAACCCTAAACCCTGCAACAACAAAAAAACTCAGCAGGTGGCCCGCTTCAAGACGGGCGAGGGCAGCCAGGAGTCGCACATGTCGTTCATTTTGTAGGGGTTATAAGTTTTCCCGGGTCTTAGGGTCTTAGGGTTCTAGGGTTTTAGGGTTATTGGGTTATGGGGGGGGGGGGGGGGTTTTAGGGTTATGGGGTTATAGGGTTTAGGGTTGCAGGTTTGAGGAGGGCAGGTCTTGCTTTCTGTTGCAGCCTCCCCCCCCTAAACAAAACCCTCAACCCTAAAACCAAAAACTGAAGCCACAAATCTGAAAGCTCTGAGAGATGGAAGTACCCTAAACCCTAAACCCTAGACCCTTGCAGAGGAGATGATCCTATGCAGCATGATGCTTCTGATGCCCGTGATCTCACTTTGCCTGGGCATCGTGCTCTACTTTGTTGGCAAGCTCAAGCTCGTGTGCACCTTAGTCTTTGCTCCCCCCTTACAACTCTAAACCCTAAACCCTAAACAAAGGTGGGGTTTAGGGTTTAGGGTTTAGGGTTTAGGGGTGATTTAGGGGTGATTTAGGGGCTAGTGAGGCATATAGGGACTATTTATAAGGTATATACAGGGGGTATACATGGGAATAAGCTAAAGGGTCCCTTCTTTGGGGGTGCCTCCTTATACCCGTTAACTTACCCAGCAAGTCAATTGAACCGCAAGGATGTTGGGTTCGCGGTTTACTGCTCACCTCGCTTGAATACCCCCCCTTGATTCAATGGGGCCGGATTTTCCAGATTCCAGGGTTCAGGGTTCAGGGTTTAGGGTTTAGGGTTAGGGTTTAGGGTTTAGGGTTTAGGGTTTAGGGTTTAGGGTTTAGGGTTTAGGGTTTAGGGTTTAGGGTTTAGGGTTTAGGGTTTAGGGTTTACGTTCTTGTAGAAGGTGCTGCAAACTGCGTCAACAGCCACCGCATGATACCAAGAAGCCCCGGCAAATGCAGAGCTCGAAGCCCTCAGAACCCCTGAATGAGGACCCCCAAACCCTAAAGCCAAAACCCAAATGCTCCAAGCCTAAGCCCTAAACCTTAAACCCTAAACCCTAAACCCTAAACCCTAAATGATCCTGAAATGAGGCGATGATGCTCCGCTTCATCCCCTACACCGTGGTGGGCGGTTTCCTGGCAGGGAGCGGCATCCTAATTCTTCAGGACGCACAAGCAGGGATTAGGGTTTAGGGTTTAGGGTTTAGGGTTTAGGGTTTAGGGTTTAGGGTTTAGGGTTTAGGGTTAGTGTTTAGGGTTTAGGGTTCAGGGTTTAGGGCTTAGCTCGCACGCCCAGAAACCCTAAGCAGAGGTTTAGGGGGATAGGGTTCAGGGGCTCAGGATTTGGGGGACTTAGGGCAAGACTTACGGCTTAGAAGCTCGCACGCACCAGAAGTCGGGTTTCAGGGGTTTAGGGGGTTTAGGGGGTTTAGGGAGTAGGGGTTCAGGCATAGGGTTCAGAAAGGAGTTCAAAGTTCAGGGGCTAATTAACCCTAAATCCTACACCCTAAACCCTAAACCCTAAACCCTAAACCTGAAGCCTCCAGCAAGAGCAGCCCTGACGAGGAGTCTTTGGCCTTGGCTGGCGGCATGGACCTGGGAGCCCCCTGGCTTTATAATTCAGAGTTTAGGGTTTAGAATAAGGGTTTAGGGTTTTGGCTTTTGGCTTTTGGCTTTTGGCTTTTGGCTTTTGGCTTTTGGCTTTAGGCTTTAGGGCTTGGGCTTTAGGGGTTCAGAGTTTAGGGTCTAGGGTTTAGGGCTTTATAGGGTTACGGGGTTATAGGGGATATAGGGGTTATAGGGGTTATTGGGCTTCAGGGCTTATAGGGGTTATGGGGGTTAAGAGTCTAGGGTTTAGGGTTTAGGTCTTTATAGGGCTATTAGGGTTATAGGGTTATAGGGGTGATAGGGGTTATAGGGGTTATAGGGGTTGAAGGGGTTAAAAGGGGTTAAGAGTTTAGTGTTTGGGGTGTGGGGTTGGAAACCCTAAACCCTAAACCCTAACCCATTAAGCAGGGGCCATATCGGTCCCGACCCTTAAAACGTGCTCAGGGCTCAGCTGCAAACAGTGGCAAACCCCAGACCCTCAGGCCTGAAGACCCGAGCCCCAGGCAGATTTGCCGCAGTTGAAAGTTCTACAGCACGTTTAATTGCAAAATAGTAATAGTAGTAAGGGTTTAGGGTTCAGGGTTTAGGAATTAGGGTTTAGGTTTAGGGTTTAGGGTAAGAATAAGAATCACAATAATTACCACAAGAGGATGAATAACAATAGTAATAGAACTTATGATGGTGCTCAAAACCGAGACTGGGCATTTGTTCAGGGACTCAAGTCAAGTGCCAGAGGTGTTCGGGCCCCTTTTTCAGGGTGCTGCGCAATATATTGTGGAGATGTTATGTTTAGGCACCCCGAAAGGAAACCGTGATTCGGAAAACTTCTGACGAGGTCCTCGTCCGCACGTCTTTTGCAAGTCCGAGCGAGACGCTGGGGCCTTGGCTCCAGCCACTTGGACTTTTTTACAGACCCTGAGCGGGCTTCTGAGGTTTAGGACTTATCTTAAGTGACCAGCATGAGGTCATAAGCAAAAATCGAACAAGGTGTCCTTACTACGGAGTCCTCTCGCAACCACTACCACTGCCACAGTTGGGCTCCTTTCAGCACTGACACTCCTTCACCTGGGCACTCACCTAGCCCCTGGGAGTGCGACGCTTAGTAGTTGAGGCTTCAGGGTTGCAGGGTGAGGGTTTAGGTTTGAGGGTTTTCGGGTTCAGGGTTTAGGGTTTAGGGCTTCAGGGTTCAACCGTGCAAGCCGGGCTCCTACGTATATCGCGCCGATACCTCTTCCCCGTCCCTTTGTCCGTGGCCTAAGGATCGTCCTTTCCATCGCTTTCTCTTCCGTCTTGGAGCATGTGACTTGGTGCAAGTTAGGGAGCTGAGTTCTCCGGCGAGGTTCGGTCTGACATGGGTCGCTGAGCATGACCCTTATCAGCAGGGTTTAGGGTGAGGGTAGGGTTTAGGGTTTAGGGTTTAGGGTTTAGGGTTTAGGGTTTAGGGTTTAGGGTTTAGGGCTTAGGGCTTAGGGTTTAGGGTTTAGGGTTTAGGGTTTAGGGTTTAGGGTTTATGGTTTAGCGATTAGGGTTTAGGGTTTAGGGTTTAGGGGCCCCTAACCCGAGGTGAGGGAGTGGCATATCTTCAGCACTCCACTGGTCATCGCCGCAGCAGTGGGCTTGAGCGCTCTGGTCCAGAGCGCTTCCCAGGGGGCCTGGCCGCCAAGGCAGACCACTGGAGACAGTTTAGGGTTTAGGGTTTGGGGTTTAGGGTTTGGGGTTTGGGGTTTAGGTGGGGGGGGGTTTAGGGCTTGTGGTTTAGGGTTTAGGGTTTAGGGTTTGGGGTTTAGGGTTTAGGGTTTAGGGTTTAGGGTTTAGGGTTGAAAAGAGCTGGCTGAGTTGCTGAGCTCACTGATTTTTTGAGGCAGGAAGCCAAGCAGCCTGTCACAGCCATGCCTTTCCTCTCTCAAAGCCTCCTTCCACCGATTCTGACGATTTTGCTTTAACCCTGAACCTGAAGCCCTAAACCTAAACCCTAAACCCCAAACCCTAAACCCCAAACCCTAAACCCTAAACCCTAAATCCTCAAGAGCCGGTGGAAAAGAATTGGAAGATCTGGGAGGTCTTGGTTCCTCGAGTTCCCGGATCCCGTCAGATGGCCCGGGCCTTGGCTTGGGGTTTAGGGTTTAGGGTTTAGGGTTTAGGGTTTAGGGTTTAGGGTTTAGGGTTTAGGGTTTAGGGTTTAGGGTTTAGGGTTTAGGGTTTAGGGGGTTAGGGGTTTCGAAGACTTGGGCACCTTGTGGACTGAAGGGTTTGGCGTGTGGTGCTGCAGTGTTTGCGTCGAGGGCTTAAGAGTTTAGGTTATGGGGCTGAAAGAGTTTGGGGCTTAGCGCTTAAGAGTTTGGGGTTTGCCCCGAAGCCTACATAGGATGCTGTTGCAGGGGGAGTTACTTGAAGGGTCATGCGGGCCGTTAGAGTTGGTAACCTGTGACCCTATTTCAGCCTCCGAACCTGAAGGCAAGAGGTAGCGGACTCCGGACATCTCTGTGCTGGTTCCGCAATCGAGAATTTCCCCAAGCCTCTCAACCCCAAACCCCCCAAATCAAAGTCAATAGCCCCCAAGCCCCCACACACGTAAAGCCCCAACAACCGTAAACCATACCCGATAAACCCCTAAACCCCCTGAAGTCCTGAACCCCCGAAACACCCTAAACCGCTCAGGTGGGAACCTTTTGCCCCTCGGCTCATAAATTCTGACAGGCAAGCCACATGGACATAAGAGTTGCTCTTCCAGGTTCAAGGTTTCGGAGATCGCCGTTGTAGAATTCATGTCGGGTGCAGGGAGGTTTCAGGTTTTGAGGCTCGGGGTAGGTTCAGAGCTCTTCCTGAAGGGCCCCTGCAAGCTAGCCACTTTGGCCCTCCGACGCATTTCCTACAACTCAAAGTCCCAAACCCTAGACTTTTGGCCCTAAACCTTAAACCCTTTTAAACCCTAAAAACCCTCCACAAGTCCTGGGTCGCCCCTGAAAAAGCCCCAGGAGCGCGTCCGGGATGGATTCCACCAGAGCTACGCGGCATCCGCCTTGGAGGAGCTCGAGTTTCTCGGGGGCTTCGCGCCTCGGGCGGCAGTTTAGGGTTTAAGGTTTAGGGTTTAGGGTTTAGGGTTTAGGGTTGCGGGTGTGGGGCCCAAGCTTTGGGGATTTGAAGGAACTCGCAGGTCGTCTCTATGGTCGCTTGTGTTTCTGCTGCTTCTCGTTTTGTTGCCGCTCTTCTTCTGGTTCGGGGCTTGCGGGGCACCTTACTGTTGGGGAATGAGGTACCCCGTATAATCCCTTAAAGGGTATATATAAATATATACAGGAAGAATCCCTTACAAGGTATAACTATCAAAGGCGAAGTTAAAGGTGATCGTACCGCATGCGACACAAGAGTTTTCGTGATTCAGACCAGGTATCCCAACGCTCTACCTCTCCACGAATCGATACGAACGCGAATGTGCTCAGTATACTAGAACAGCGATACCAGTAGCAATCAAAACGATGGCTAGGGGCTTGCTCGGAGATTCATGGGCACTTATATAGGGTCATAAGAACCCTAGATGAGGCTGCAACCATAGTTACCCTGCTGAGAACCCTACTCATGAGTGCCCATGAACCTCTCCAAGCAGGTGATCCGCTTTAAACCCTAAACCCTAAACCCCAAACCCTACACCCTAAACCCAAATCCCTAAACAACCCCAGACCCTCGGATGTACGGCCGAGGTGGTGATTATGACCGTTTCCTGGAGCATCAACACCCTGGCGGTGGCGAAGCTGGTACCCCTGCGACCGGGCCTGCAGCGCTGCGACGAGCAGGAGGAGCCGGCCGGCTTGCAGAGCTGGGGTTTAGGGTTTAGGGTTTAGGGTTCAGGGTTTCGGGTTTAGGGTTTAGGGTTTCGGGTTTAGGGTTTAGGGTTTATCTTCTGGTTTGTCACAAACAATCCATAACTAAAGTGGTTTCTTCCAGTTTTGAAACGCGAAAATTTGGAAACGTGCGCGTCCATCCTTGGGCCCCTCTATATTGGTCTACACAAACGATACATAGCTTAGTCTTCCAGTTGAGAAACGCGAAAATTTAGAAACCCTAAACCCTAAACCCTAAACCCTAAACCCTAAACCCTAAACCCTAAACCCTAAACCCTAAACCCTAAACCCAAAACCCTAAAACCCTAAAGAAAATTTAGAAACGTGCGCGTCCATCCTTAGGAACATGGCGGTTTGGGTCTTCACAAACGGTTCATAGCTGAAGCGGTTTCTTCCGATTTAGAAGCCAGATGTCTGTAGAAACGCGCGCGGCCAACCATTAGAGTTTAGGGTTTAGAGTTTAGGGGTTTTGGGGTTTCAGGGTTTCGGGTTTAGGGTTTCGGGTTTAGGGGTTTGGGGTTTGGGGGTTCGGTGTTAGGGCGCAGTCGAGGGTTTCTACCGGGTGCGGCTCGCTACCCCCCCAAACCCATGAACCCTCAACCGTCTGAACCCGAAGCCCGGAATCCCAAACCCTAAGCCCCCAACTCAAACCCCAAACCGTGAGCCGCTAAACTCACAAAACCCCAAGCCCTGAAAACCACCAACTCCCCAACCCTGGGCCCTCTACAGCCCGAAACCCCCAACCCTAAGCCCTCTAAACCGCAAGCCCCAAAACCCTAACCCCTCTAAACCCCCAAACTCAAACCCTCTAAACCTTCCAAATCTTCTAAACACTCTAAACCCTCTAAACCCTCCATAAAGCCAGACCCTGAATCCCTAAACCCCCAACCCTAAACCCTAAACCCCAAACCCCAAACCCTAAACCCTAAACCCTAAACCCTCAACCCTAAACCCTAAACCCTAAACCCTAAACCCTAAACCCTAAACTTAAGGATCCGAACCCTGGGTCTGACGAACGTGCTGCTGGGCTCCATGGGCGGCTTATGCTCCATGCAGTCCTTCAAGATCCCGATGATGATGAGGGGGGTCAAGTCCCGTCCTGAGTTTAGGGTTTTGGGTTTCGGGTTTAGGGTTTAGGGCTTAGGGTTTAGGGTTAACAGGCTTAAGGGTTTACGGTTTTAGGGTTAAGAGGGTTGAGTGTCTGGGCTTAGGGCCATGAGCATCTGCTGCTTGAAGGTTCGTGTGGTGGTTTTCGTTCTTTTGTTTTACGGGGGCGGTTCCCATGTACAGAGTCTGGTACCCCTCAAAGGGGATTGCACGTTTAGAGACCCACTTGACGGATCCTGGGTAGTTGCGTGCCTGGGCTGTAGAGTGTAACAGTACCTCGCAGGCTTACATGACCATAGGCCAAACTACAGGGGTTACCTTTCCATGGCAGTTACATACACATCCCAAAGAAAAGAGGTGCCCTAGCTTAAACCCTAAACCCCAAACCCTAAAACCCTGAACCCTAAACCCTAAAACCCACCGAGGTCTGGGCCCTCGTGGCCTTACTTCAACGTGGTTGTCAACGTCCTGCTCTTCGTGGCCTCTCCGAGGAGCATCGTCCAGACGGTGCCACGTTTCCTCTTCGCAGGCTGCGCTGCTCGTTTTAGGGTTTAGGGTTTGGGGTTTAGGGTTTAGGGTTTTGGTGTTTTCGGGTTTTCGGGTTTTAGGGTTTTAGGGTTTTAGGGATTTAGGGTTTTAGGGTTTTAGGGTTTAGGATTTAGAAATTTAGGGTTTTGGGTTTAGGGTTGTAGGGTTTTAGGGTTTTAGGGTTTTAGGGTTTTAGGGTTCTAGGGTTTGTTTAATGTGCTACCAATGTTCATAGTGCCATCAAATCTTGCGAACACAAAGCCACTCTAAGTTTCTTACAAAATATAAATGTTAAGAGGACATTAAAGGGATGTTAACGTTTGGTCCTCCTTTCTGGATGTTGAACAAAGTTTTTCTCTTTGAGAAGTTGGTGACAGGGTTTTACGGTTTAGGGTTTAGATTTTTAGGGTTCAGTATAAAGTATAAGGGGGAGAATCCCAAGGTGTGCACTTAAATCACCAGCAAAACCCTCAGGACCCTCAGTTGCCTCCAGGGCCCCTGTTTTTTAAAATAAGGGTGTCTACAAAAAAACTACAAAAGGAACCTCTTTTTGAATAGTAAGGGCGTCTACAAGAAAGCTACAAAAGGAACCTGGCAGTTGTTTTTTGTTTCGTAAGGGCGTCTAGAACAAAACCATATTCCCCCGGTTGCAGGCACAATGGTATGGCTTACCCCAAACCCTAAGCCCTAACCCCTACACCCTCAACCCAAAACCCTAAACCCCAAACTCTAAACCCTAAACCCGGGGGAGTTTGCATCACCATCTGCCCCCCCCCCCCCCCGGAAAAGAAGAAAAAAAAACAGGCACAGTGGTGCGGCTGTCGTGCGACCTCATTGGCGAATGGCTGTTGGAGGCCCGGCGACGCGTGGCCTGGGAGGAGCCGCCTGTTTAGGGACTTGGTAGCCCAGTGGAACCCTGGGTTTAGGGTTTAGGGTTTAGGGTTGAGGGTTGAGGGTTTAGGGTTTAGGGTTTAGGGTTTAGGGTTTAGGGTTAAACCCTAAACCCTAAACCCTTAGCCCTAAACCCTAGATTAAACCCGAAACCCAATTTTTTTGGTTCAAGGTGCCCCTACAAAGTAGCCGCTAAAGCAGCCAACCCCGAGAATGGTACAATTATGAACATCTGGTTGCTGGGCTACTAAGAGGACGATCAGCTGGACTTCTCAGGGTGCAGGATTTCGGGGCGCTTATGAAGGTTTAGGTTTTAGAGTTTAGAGTTTAGAGTTCAGGGTTTAGGCTTTAGGGTTTTGGGTTTAGGGTTTAGGGATGTGCAGAGTGTAGGTCCTGTGGCCAAAACATTGCTCTTTGTGAGCTGGGGAGTGTGTTGCTGGACACCTCAGCCCTTTTGCCATAAAAAAAGGCTGGAAGTGTCTGAGGCCCGAAACCCTAAGCCCCAACCCCTAAACCCAAAACCCTAGACCCAAAACCCGGGGGAGTTTGCATCACCATCTGCCCCTCTTCGATGCGGCAGGAGTGGCTTGTGCTGGTTGCCACAGCCATTGTCGTGGCAGGGCACCCAGCTCAAGAAGGTTTAGGGCTTTAGGGCTTTAGGGCGTAGGGTTTAGGGTTTAGGGTTGAGGGTTTAGGGTTTAGGGTTTAGGGTTTAGGGTCTAGGGTTGAGTAATCTAGGGTAATATGCTAGAGGATGCCGTATCAAACGGGGCAGGGAAGGAGCTTGCAGTCTGGTGCTGAGGTGATCAACGTCACCCTGGGCATTCTCTTTGGCCTTTTCTGCACCCTTGCCGGGTGCTCAGATTGAGGATGCCCAGTAGTGCCCTTATTCCCTTTTTGGGGGGTTTAGGTTCCCTTTTAAACCCCTGTAAGCAAAAAAGGGCACCCTTTTAAGCCTAGGTTACTGGGCAGCCTAGAGATTGATCAGGCAGAGGCTCCCATGATCCTGTTTAGGTGGCCTGAACTACGATTTGCTTCAGAACCCCCCCCCCCCCCCCCAAAAAAAAAAAAAAAAAAAGCAAAAAACAAAGCTATCCCTATATTTGCCCTGATAAGGAAGAATATATTTTTTTATTTTTGAGGGGGATTTGGGATGCCCCCCTTCTGCTCTGAGGCGTGGTTTGCCATTGAGTATACGGGCGTGGCTGGCATCACCCACGACAGCACCCTTAGCCAGTACTGGGCTAAGCTTTGCCAGGCTCAAAAAGCTTTTGATGCACACATATGCACGTGCAACCAACCGCTCAGGAGCCGCTCGAGGGTGGAGAGAAGTGACGAGGAGCACGCGATGCTGCAGGAGCATGGTCATGGGACCTTGGTGCCTGGGAGCAAAGTCGACTTCACGTAGAATAGCCAGTCTCCCTGGCCGCCACCCCTCAAGCTGTGGAGGCCACCATGTCGAAAAAGGTACGGTTCCCCATACGAAGGACCTCCTCCCACAAAAAGAGAGCCCTCATTTTTTGACAACCCTACGTATCAAGCCCCTTGCAACCAAGGTCATCTGGCTCAGTGGCTACCTCTTCTTCGGCTCTGCATGCCAGGCGGCGCGTGGGGCTGCTCCAATTTGGGGGGTTTCCGAAATTTGGGGTACCTTATTGGGGTCCTGCCCTAAACCCTAAACCCTAAACCCTAAACCCTAAACCCTAAACCCTAAACCCTAAACCCTACTTATTTGGGGGGTCTATATTAGGGGTCCCCTCTTTTCGTAAACCCCCAGTCCCCTTTTTTTTTGGGCGTGGAGCTTGTTGGTGCCACAGGGAATCCTCCAGAGGTCTCTCTTGGCAAATTAGGCTTTGGGGTTTAGGGTTTAGTGTTTAGGGTTTGGGGTTTAGGGTTTAGGGTTTAGGGTTTAGGGTTTAGGGTTTAGGGTTTAGGGTTTAGGGTTTAGGGTTTAGGGTTTAGGGTTTAGGGTTTAGGGTACCCGAGCAGATGCGACCATCAGCTTGGGGACAAATTGCAATCATATACCCTAGGCTACTATACTCCCTATTCGGCCTAGTAGGGTTTTAGGGTTTAGGGTTTAGGGTTCAGGTTTTTAGGGTTTTAGGATTTAGGGTTTAGGGTTTAGGGTTAGAGTAGGTAACCTTTAACCTTTTTGGGGTAATGTAATCCCCTTCCAATTCCAACGGTTAACCTTTAACTCCCGCAGGTTACTGGACAACTAGGTCGGGTATGAATGTGGGTAGTCCTCTACATCACGGTCCCTTCAAGGGTCCTTTTCGATAAGGGCGCCGTACTTTATTGGACACAAAAGGGAACCGAATCGAAAGGGAGGGACAAAACCCTTCAGCCTTAATCTGGTCCTTAAGGCAGGAACACAGATCTCTAAACCCTAAGCCCTAAACCCTAGACCCTAGACCCGAAACCCTAAACCCTAAACCCTAAACCCTAAACCCTAAACCCTAAACCCTAAACCCTAAACCCCAGGTCATTGACGAAGTGCGGAGCAGGGTTCAGGAGCGCGACGTCACCGTCGTCATCTTGGACTTCTCGCATGTGCCGGCCATCGATGCCGCTAAGCTGCGCACTCTCTGTGGAGTGAGTGAGGGTTTTTTGCTAGGGTTTAGGGTTTGGGGTCTAGGATTTAGGGTTTAGGGTTTGGGGTTGAGGGTTTAGGGTTTAGGGTTTAGGGTTTAGGGTGTGAGGCTTCTTGTGGTTACGGTGCCCCGATGTACACTTCCGATCAGGATGCTGGTATCCGAAACCCGCAACCCTAGGACCCCAACATGCCTTTACAATGTTCTTTGTTGACCTCACACCCTAAACCCTGAACCCTAAACCCTAAACCCTAAACCCTAAACCCTAAAAGTGCCTTTGTTGACCTCAAAAGGCCAGCGGCGTCTATGCCATTGTGGACCTGGTGCAGGACCCCAAGGGCTCAGGTTTATAGGGTTTATAGGGTTTGCAGGGTCTACAGGGTTTGGGTTTATAGGGTTGTTAGGATTTTCTATAGGGCTGTCTAAAGGTTGTTTATAGGGTTTATAGGGTTTACGGGGTTTATGGGGTTCATGGTTTTATAGGATTTATAGGGTTTAGGGTTTACAGGGATTTATGAGGGCTTGCCTCTGAACCTCAAGCCCAACCTCGATGTCCACAACCAGCAACCCCCGAAACTCCTACAACACCCTTCATGACCCTGACAACCCTAAACCCTAAACCCTACACCCTAAACTTATATAACGAAGGGACGCAAATCAAGGCCCATACTTGGAACCCTAGGAGAACCCTCTAAGCTCCAAACCCTAAACCCTCCAAACCCACCCCCGGAACCCTCTAACCCTCTAACCCTCAAACCCTTAATCCTGAATCCTGAACCCTAAACCCTAAGTCCTGAACCCTCAACCCTAAACCCTAACCCTAAACCCTAAACCCTAAACCCTAAACCTTAGAGAACCCTCTAAACCCCGTAAACAGGAGCTCCAGGAGCCGAAGTTGTTGGGCCCTCAGTAAGGTGAATGTTCAAGGGTCGACAGAGGCTTTAGGGTTTAGGGTTTCGGGTTTAGGGTTTCGGTTTAGGGTTTGGGGTTTCGGGTTTCGTGTTTAGGGTTTGGGGTTTTGGGTACTACAACTCTGCTTGTAAGTGCCCTTGAACCTTCAAGTGAACCATCCTCGGAATTCATAGATGTTATGCACGGTGGCGGCCTAGGATTTTCAAATGGCTGAGGGTTTTAGGGCTTAGGGTTTCGGGGTTTTGACAGTTGGGGGATGAAAGGATTTCAAGGCTTTGCGTGTTTCAAAGAGTTTTTCGGGTTGCGAGTTGTGCAGGTCCTGCCCTTAGGTTTGGTGACGGGCCCCTGCAAGTGTACGGCCTGTGGTCATCGTCGGCTGCCATGGCATGAGAGTAAGCTTGGGTGACCACATGCAAAACTCATCAGGGTTCTTGGATGTATCTTTCGCACTCGCCAAAGAATGTACAAGCTGTTGCCTGCGGGTTTCTAAGCGACCCTGCTGTGGACAGGTTCATTCGCACCATGTCCACAATGGTCACGAGTTCTAAGACTCTAAGAAAGGTAACAAAAACTAATTAGGGGTAAATGAAAGTTCCTTCCATCCCTGTTTAGAATTTCCCTGAGCCCTCAACCCCGCAACGCTTCTCTAAGCCGCGTCCAGGGTGCAATTGGTTTTCTGTGGGCTGGTGCGCCGGCTGAAGAATGCCCTTCAGTGTGCAGCAGAACACGAGCAGGCGCCTGGTTTGTTTTGGGTGTTCTTCCATGTCGTCCCTGAACCCGAAACCCTTACTATTTAAACTCTACAGCCCTCTTTAGCGTTTAGGGTTTAGAGTTTCTGGAAGCCCTTGCACAAGGTGCCTCTTCGGGAGGTGTATCACGACCTGGACAAGGCAGCAGGATGGATTTCAGGGCTTGTGGTAGCTGACGCAAAACCTTAACAAGGCTAGATGTAAGCTCCCAAAGAGCAGTCAGAAAATGTTGGAGCTGGCAACCTTCTCCGAGCTGGGCTTCAGATTCGCTGTGTGAGACAGGCACTGCAATCCTACGAGGACAAGATCTTGCAGAAGCTTCCCAGGAGCCCGGTGAGAAAGAGGCTGCGTTTTGCTGTGATTCAAGTCACCCATCGCCATCGCGTCGGGTCCCCGTCGTCAGCAGCAAGTGCCACGACCCCAAGGCCCACCTAAACCCTCATAAACAAGTCCCAAACGGCAAGCCCCAAAGTTCTACACCCTCACCACCACCGCCCCCGCCCTTGAAATTTTCTATAGTCCTGTATACCCTGAATCCCTAAACCCTGAACCCGTAAACCCTCAACCCTAAACCCTCAACCCCTAAACCCTAGCTTCGAAGCCGAGACGTCATGGCCAGGCCAAAGAGAGGTTTGGGCTGCTCCCTCAGTGGGAACTCCTCTGAGACGGGTTTAGGGTTTAGGGTTTAGGGTTTAGGGTTTAGGGTTTAGCGTTTAGGGTTTAGGGTTTAGGGTTTAGGGTTTAGGGTTTAGGGTGCAGAAGTGAACGTAGAATGTGGGGGCTCGAGGGGAATTGAGGGTCGGGTTGGGAGTTGCAATTCATGGCCGGAACTCGGGAGCTCTTGCCGCAAACCCCCGTGGAGGCGCAGGTGGCTGGCACACACATTTTGGGCTTGGGGTTGAGGGTTTAGGGTGTAGGGTGAAGGGTTTAGGGTGTAGGGTGAAGGTTTAGGGTTTAGGGTTTAGGGTGTAGGGTGTAGGGTGTAAGGTTTAGGGTTTAGGGTTTAGGATCGATTGGCCAGAACAAGTTCAGCTGATTCCTCCCGTGCGCTATCCAGGCGTGTCGAAGATCGACTCGCTGAACTGCATCACTGAACTGGACCTGGTCTGGCACCTGGTGTGTCTCGTGCACTAAAGACGCTAAAAACCCTGGAAGAGAGGGGCCTAGTTACATGCTTGGCATGGGTCTTTTGGGTGGCTCGCAGATGGTGTTTCAAGGGACTAAAGGAGGGACCCGCACAAACAAACAACCCTGAACAACCCTAAACAACCCTAAACAACCCTAAACAACCCTAAACAACCCTAAACAACCCTAAACAACCCTAAACAACCCTAAACAACCCTCAACCCCAAACCCTAAGCCCTTTTCAGGGGCCTTAAGTGCTGTTTTGCCCCCCCCCCCCCCCCCGGCCACCTATCTGCACGGAGGCGCAGCCCCACTTCGCCCGGGAGAGCAGCAACGAGCCGGACAGAGACGTTGGAAACCCTAAACCCTAAACCCTAAACCCTAAACCCTAGAACCAAAGCCCTCGAAGCGAAGAAGTCCCGCGGTTGAGGACAAGCGTGCCTCAGCCCTACACCCTAAGCATCCCTAAACCCTAAACCCTAAACCCTAAACCCTAAACCCTAAACCCTAAACCCTAAACCCTCAGAACCCCAAAGCCCCCGGGTGAGGACGGCGGTGTCTGGCACCACTTGCTCCAGAAGGAGCTCCCCGTGCTCGATCCAGGCGAGGGGGCGCCGACTGGAGCCACCCATCCATTCATATACGAAGAGACACACATGTGTATATAATAGTGTGCATATATAGATATAGTAATGTGTATATAATAATGTGTATATAACAACTAATAATCATGTGTATATAAGAATATGTGTAGAATTCTGTGTGTATGTATAGATATGTAGATTGTAGACGTAATGTGTACACACATACATGCATAAATGCATACAGGTATATACATGTGTGTGTGGTCCCCGCCCCCCATGATCTACCGGCACGGCTTTTGTTCTCCCAAAACCTTGTAAAAAATCGATCGTTCCCTCTTGTTCCTCTTCGTTTCTGTAGCTGTTCGTGCAGGTATTGTGAATCTTGTTTTTTTTTCAAATGTTCACCATTGAAGTTTGTATTCACCGGGCTCTTGCCGTCGGCAGACCACGTTTCCATCGAGCTTTTGCGGGAGCTGGCTGGGGCGCCCCAGCTCAAGGCGTCTGGTCTGCAGCCAAGTTGAAGGCTACTTTGGTACCTATTAACCAATTATCACTGCACTTATAATTAACCCACTTATAAGCCCATTAAGTGCCCTAATCTGGTATTATAAGTACAGTTATAAGTGTTGGCACAGAATGTGCGAAGTGACATGACACGAGGCAGGGTCTGCACGCTGTAGCCGTGCAGGCCCGAGCATAGCATTTTCGAACATTCGAACATCGGGCCATGGCGAGCAAGGCCTTGGAAATCCGAGTGGAAACGGCTTGCTCGGAGCATCTTGCTGCGCTGGCGCGTGGAAGCTGGCACATTCTATGACGCAGCAATCGAGAGCATTCGACATGACTTGCGGCAACTTCATGGCCGCGTAATTCAACAGGACAGGACCCTGATAGACCGTTACTCAGACTTTGATAAATGTATTGACGTTCCGTAAGTGCTCGTCGGCCGAGCCTATACCGAGTCAGGGGTGTCAGAGTCAGGGGTGTCACAGTCAAGCGTTTTCTCACACGTTGTATTTTTTTCTTTGTTTTAGCGTGGCCATGTCGGCTACAGAGCTGTGGGATAGGCTTCGGCAGCGGGGTCTGCAAGATCTCGCCCCAACTCTTGTAGAAGCAGGGGTTAGGGGCCTGGGAGATGTGGCTCAGTCTCGGGAAGCCTTGCTGCAGATGGGCGTAGCCAGCTGGCGATTAGATTTGCTATGCGGCGAAGGCTCTAGATCGACTGCAGCTTTGGGACGTGTGCCTGCTCCTAGATGGGATGCCCCGCCAGTCCATAGGCGCCAGAGAGCATCGCAGGCTGAGGCATTGCGAGCGGCAGACCCTGCGCAGAGAGCTTTGGCATTGCGCGAGCTGGAGGCCGAAGTATTAGCTGCAACTTCTCAAGGCCCCGTGGCGTCCCGTCTGGCTTTCTGGAAGAAAGTTTGTGAAGCTTGGGGGGTGCCAGATTTCCCATTGACAGTGCAGAACGTGAAGGCCGTAGCTGCTTCGATGAAACGGGGTAAGTATCGCAGTTGCGCTCAGTATTTTTCGGCTGCGACTGTTTGGCAGGTGCGTAGCCTCCATCAAGAGGTAGAACCACACACTCGGGCATTGATTGCAGATTGCATCCGAAGCATCCGACGGGGATTAGGGCCCGAGGCGCTGAAGGACAGTTTTGATCCCCAGCCACTTGGTGCGCTGGTCAAGGACCCGCAGGACGGAGAGGTTTCGATGTCACCATTCCATTTGCTGCTGTAGACATGTGCTTGATCGGTTTGTGGTTCATGTTGCTAGAGATTGAACTATCCAATGCCAGAGAACATCAGTTGTATTTGCGAGGGGGACGTGTTCACTTCATGTTGCCAGTGGAGAAGAGATCCAGTCAGGGAGACGTGACCGAGCGTACCTTGGAATGCGCGTGCCGTTTTCGGCGGCAGCCGCTGTGCCCGTGGCACGCGGCGCAGAGACATCTCAATCGATTGCAGAATCTGAAGCATCAGCTGGGGGTGAGGGACCTGCCGCTGTTCCCAGGAGCACGGGGGGAGACCTTGCCTAAGGAAGCCTTCGTCGGCCATGTAAGGTCCACATTGCTGGCTGCCGGCATCGAGTGCAGCAGGCCAAACGAGGTTGGTCAGCTAGAGGAGAGATTTCAGGGACATGTCCTGAGGGTCAGTGGAGCGCAGTTCTTGTGCATGATAGGGCTCCCAGGGCATCTCATACAAATGCATGGCCGGTGGACGTCCACTTCGGTGCTCAGATATCTGCAGCAGGCTCCTCTTCATTCAGTTCCAGTGGCAGCAGCGCAGGCCCTATCGTGTGGACAATCATCCGCAGCGGTTGCCATGACCGTGCAGCCGTTGTCTGAGTTGTTGAGCCCCAGGTTCTCGCAGGCAGTTGGCTCTGCGGCGGGGAGTGACAAGTCGGGCGAGGCGCGTGAGCCTCCATTGAAGAAGCCAGCATGCCAGTTGGAGCATGCAGGGCAGAGAGAGCTTGAGAAGCTTCGGAGTGAGTTAGCCGGATTGGCTAGGGCCGTCAAAGCGCCGGCCGAGGTCTGGATACAGAACCCGAGGACGAAGAAGGTCCATCGGCCTACAGGCGACGAGCTCACGTCTGGATCAGATATGTGGGCTGCACGATGTGGATGGCCATATGGCATGAGGAGGCACTTCAGGCTAGCATCGCTCTCGGATAATGCCATAAAATGTCGTCGCTGTTTCGGCCTGACAGAAGATGGCGCAGGCTCTGACGACGGCAGTGAGGAGAGCTCCAGCTCAGTGTCTGGATCCAGTTCCGACTTGTGATTATAGTCGTGTAGGCGCTACTCGGGGCTTCCTCTCGCGCACGTAAAAACAGTTAACCTAGAGCAGCGCGTGCCTGGCATGTGACAGTTGCGCCGAGTTTTTCTTGTCCGTAGCGCTGTGATGCGCTGTGTGCTCCCGCTGCTTCAGGACTTCGGCGAGTGGCCAGATACTTGGACCAGGACATCGGCGCGTTCGCTGGCTCCTGGCACAGTGAGCGAGCCTTTCAGTGTGCAGGAACTCGACTGATGTTGGAAGGGCCAGGGGGCGCCCGAGGACGTTTTTCTGCCAGTCATAGAGGGTCGCCCGCTAGCGTGGGGGTGGTCGCAGTACACGTGCGTCTGCGAGCCACAGACAGTTGGGGCAGTTGGTTCCCACTGTCGTGAGAGACCCTTGAAGTCGTAGTCGGCAGGAGCGCCAACACGGCGCAGAATGACAGCGTTGACCGCGGTGCTCCAGGTAAACGGCTCCTTGGTGTGCTGCAGGGCAGGCCTAATAATCTGTGTCCCATCCTGCAGTTTCGTATGTAAAGTGTGCGTGGTCAACAGTGTAGGCGTGCAGCGCAAGCCTTGAGCATCGACGCATGTTGTGAGTGTTGTTGGTGTCGGCAGTCAGTTCGGCACAGGCACAGAGTGGTGCGGCAGGATCCCAGCCGCGTGATGCCAGCGTGATGGCGCAACATTCCGGAAAGTCGCTGCAGGAGGTGGCGACGCTCGCAGGGGCTGGTCATGACATCATGCGATATCTCGACTTGCGCGGAGTCAAGTCTGTCGGGACTTTAGCCATGCTCGGGCCCTCCGAATCAGAGTTTGAGCAGTTTCTTATCCATCCGCTGTTGCAGGGTTGGGGGTCAGGGGCCGATCGCATCGAGGTTGCTGAAGCCGAGAAGCCTATTGCAACTGCCATCCTTAAATACATGAGGGCTCTGGCGGTCGAGGATCGTAAAACCGCCACAGCCGCTCATCAAGCCCCCGCCGTGCCAGCAAATCAGCAGACAGCGGCAGCTGCGGGAACATCAGCGGCAGCAGGCGATCCAGAGAAAGTGCCCAGGACTTTGCCAGCAGGAGTTTGGGCCCAGCAGCTCAAGCGATATCAGAGGGTCTTGATTGATGGCACTCCGCGTCCCTTTCCGGAGAAACAAATCTTGGGGGCGGAAGCCACCCTAGCAAAGTTGTGGCATCAGTTGCACACATCCAAGACCTACGCTCCGCTTCCTTTAGGTGAGGTGATCGCTAAGCGCAGCTTTGATGCCGGTGCCACGGTAAACCCGCTGAGCAAGCGGTCCATCTCCCAGAAGGTCGTCATCGATGTGGACAAGGACCAGCTTCGCACGGAGGAACCTGATGAGACTTGGGAGCCCCGTTCGTTGTTAGCAGTAATTGATGCTCTCAACGCCGTGAGGTGGGCATACGTCTTCGTAGAATATGGTCCTGAACTGGAAGTGCACGCCCTTTTCGACGTCTTCGAGCAACGAGCTAGGCAGCGTTCTTCACATCTTGACCTTTTCCGTCAGTACTACGAGGCTGCAGCTCTGCATCTGTGCATGCAGATGAGAGCGGGGCTCACATTCACGGAGGCTGCGAAGATGATCATTGAGGACACGCACATGTTCCAGGAGGTGATGTCGCGAGATAGTCCCGTCAAGAAGCCCCCGCCCAAACGCAGACTGGATGATCCGGCCAGGGCTGGTGCGCCAGAACCCAAGCGTGGGAGGTGGGGTGCGCCGCAGCGTGGACGAGGCAGGGGTGCGGGTCGCAGCTCATCTTGGCAGTCTTGGGACAGCCGAAAGTGGGATGACAAGAGCCAGCGGGACTGGTATCAGCACTCCCACAAGGACAAAGAGTAGGGAAGTGGGGGTGGCACTGGAGTGGGACGGTTCCACGACCCCACCTGCCCTACGAACCCACACACCTCATCAGGAGCCTCATCCGAGTGGGGGGAGGATGCACAGCCCCGTTCCACAGCTGCTGCAGGATGTCAAGGAGAATCCTCATCCTCAGCAGTTCGGCCTCGGACCTCAGAAGAGTGGCGTGAGGAGGCCACAGCGGCTGAGGCTTACCCAGAAATCATCCACTTAGATTTTTTCAGCGGAGCGGGGTCAGCATCGCTCGCTTTGCGCAAGCTTGGCGTGCCAGTGCGCGCGCTGTTGAGCTGGGAGGTTGACCCAGCTGCGCGGGCCATCGCGCAAAAGGCATTTCAAGGGCTCCGGTATGACAGGGGAGACTTCACGCAGGATGAAGCCTCCGCGGTGGCAACGCTGGTCAGGGACACATGCCAGGGAAGTCGACTGCCAGTGTTGATCACAGCTGGGCCTCCCTGCCCAGACTACTCCAAGATCAAGTCACATCCCGCGGGGCGTGATGGATCTAGCGGAGGCCTCTTTGTGCAGTTTACGCAGTTTCTTGCGGAGTTGGAGGCGCAATTGAGTGACTTCCATTGCTTGATCCTGGTAGAGAACGTTCATATGGCCAATGGGGCGGACATCGCCTGGTTCAGCCATGCGATGAAGGCCAGTCCTATCCTAGCAGATGCTGCTGACTATGGCCTCATTGCTAGGCCCAGGCTGTGGTGGTCACGGGTGAACTGGACTAAGGTGAATCATCATCCTGAGCATGGTGGAGAACTCAAGTGGACTAAACAAGGTAAGGTTCACAGGCTCAAACTGGACGTTTGTCGAGATGAGCCGTCCCAGATTGCCATGAAAGGATTGAGTTTTCACCCCAAGGTCAATGATGGATCATGCCGACTCCCGTGCCTCACAACCCCTGCTCCAGATAGTAGTGGCCGCGAAGCGCCACGCTCTATGAAGGGGCGACTTGACTCCGCCACGCGGGGAAGATGGTTGCAAGGCGCAAGGCAATATGCTCCATGGCACTATGCCGACACTGCCATGGTGAAGGACGCACATAACGTCTTGCAGTTGTTGCCGGCTGAGGTGAAGGAGCAGCTTCATCATTTTGATGTTGGGTTCACATCCTCGCCGCAACTCACGCCCCGGGACCGGCATAGGTTGCTAGGGAACTCGTGGCACGTTGGTGTTGCGAAGATCCTGTTGGCCTTAGTGCTGGCGGAGACTCGGGGTAGCAGTCCTATTGACGAGAGTGCCACTCAAGATTTTGGGAGCACCTTGAAGGAGGTGACCGCTAGTGCAAAAAGGGTTGGCATACCGATGCACAAGGCTCCTGAGCTTGGGGCACACATACTCATGATGCCTGCTGAAAACATGCTGCAGCACTGGGAGCACTCACAGCATGCGTTGCACCCTCTTGACATTCCGCCCGTCGTAGATCCCGCCATTGAGAAAACAGCGTGCCGGTTGTTGGCCGTTGGCGCGCAGGTGAGTGAGCTCAGGACTCGCGTCCTGGCAGACGTTCGGGAGCTTATTCGGGTTTCGCGTTCTAGCACTGAGGAGTGGTTCAAGTCTTTGCCCCCACATGTCCAGGACGCATACCGCTTGGAGGACGGTCGCATTGTGCAGATACCTGTGTTTATTCGGCTGCTCCAAAGTTGCAATTATGAGGACTGTCATAACCTGCAGCGAGATCTCAGCGAGGGATTCCCGCTGCTGGGCGAGCTCCCAAGATCACCAGGTTGGCAACCGCGGACAGATGAGAAGTATCAACATCCCATTGACAGGCAGACCTTTGCCGCCCTCAACTTTTCTTATGTGTGTCAGAAATTGGCCAAACCAAAAGTAGACCCAGAATGGAGGACTTTGCTCGAGGAAATCACGGAGGAAGTGGCCCAGAATCGAATGCAGGGCCCGTTCACGGCCCCATCAAGTTGGCCGCGGCAGACAGTCGCAGTGCCTGACCGAGAAGGGTTCACACACTGCCGGCCATTGCTGGACACTCAGCCTCGTGTAGCGGGGGCGTTCTCGGTAGTACAAATGGGTAGTGATGGGCGGCGCAAGGTCAGGAGATGCGAGGGTTATCGCCGTAGTCATCATAATTCAACAATAAAGGCGCTAGACGTGCCGGCGCATGACACGGTGGACACATACGTGCAGCTGATCCGTTTCCTGCGCGGGCTCGGACTGCGATGCACCATCTGGTGCCAGGATCTTTGGGCCGCATACCGGCAATACCCAGTGGCCAGACCGGATGAGGCGTATGTGTTGCTGCAATTGCCACATGGACCTAGCCTGTGGCGGCATTCGGTGCTCCCTTTTGGCAGCAGTTCCTCTGTTTGGTGCTTCAACCGCTGCACGGACGCGTTGCTTTTCCTGGGCCGGTGCTTGCTACTGTGCTTGGTGCTGCGTTTTGTGGATGATATCGGGTCTCCTGACGCGGAGTGGAGTGCCAACAGTAGTTTCTCGGCTTTCAGCGAGCTTTGTGAATTGTTGGGTTTGCGGTTGAAACCTTCTAAAGCCCAACCCCCGAGCAACGTGCAGAAGTTGTTAGGGGTGACCATTTCCGTGAAGGAAGAAGGTATTGTCCTTGAACCCACGCCGCAAAGGATACAGAAGGTTAGGGCTGCGTTGCAACAGGCGCTGGCGTCTGACAGTCTGACTCCCGAAGAGGCGGCTCGCATCACGGGCAAGATCAACTTCCTGAATACCACCATGTTCGGGCAATTGGGTGCATCGGCCATGCAACCACTTTACGCCAGAGCAAGAGACTGCCGGGGAGATTCGAGTCATAGTCTCAATGGGGCGTTGAGGAGCGCGTTGACCACTCTGAACGCTATTCTCGCCAATCCAGTCCCCAGGGTCATCCCATATGGCGATGGAGCGCCAGCGCAGATTGTGTTGTATGCAGATGCCTTTTTCGAGCTGGGAGACTCTTCCTTTGGGCTGGCAGACAATCCGCCGGAGCATTGGTCCACTTCTCGTTGCCGATATTATCGAAATGGTCTGGGATTCGTTTTGCGCACTCCGCAGGGAGTGCGTTGCACACACACTTCGGTGCCAGCGTACGTGCTTTCTTTGTTTTCATCTAGAAGGGCTTATATTTATGCTCTGGAAATCTTAGCGCAGCTTCTGGGTGTCTTGACCAGCTTGGATGTAGTGCGCGGCCGCTGGATTGGTTTCATTGACAACACCGCAGGCAGGGCGGCTTTGAACAGAGGATATGGGCGAGACCCGGCCATCAACCACCTATTAGCATTCTTCTGGGCCTTCGCATCAAGAGTGCAGTGGAGCCCACATTTTGAATGGGTGCCGAGCGAGCTAAACGTATCTGACCCGATTTCGCGAGGGGATTGGGAGTTGGCCTCACGCGGAGGCTGGAGCAAGCTAGACTCTCCTTTGGAGCCCTTGTGGCGCATATTCGCCAAGGTCGCAGGGGACTTGCGCTACGCGGTCGGTCAGGCCGTGGATGATGTGGTGGCCCTTCAGTGGAGTTTTCAGATTTGAGCGATTCTCCTATGACCCGCCACGGGGTGGGGATGGGGCTGTGCCGGGTGGCGGTCAGACTGCACAGCCCGAAGTCCCTCACCCGTGAGCCGAGAAGGCGAATGCGAATCCACGTGAGCTTCACCCGAGATTCAAGCACACCACAGCTCCGTGGGATGGTGAAGACAAAGCATCGTAGTCATTCTTGCATTCAAGAGCATGCCGAGTCACGTGTCGTGTTGGCACAGAATGTGCGAAGTGACATGACACGAGGCAGGGTCTGCACGCTGTAGCCGTGCAGGCCCGAGCATAGCATTTTCGAACACCCTCCCACCACTCCCAAGGAGTAACGTTAAGGGGGTGCCACGTGGCATTCCACGGCTCTCCGGGTGGCGGTCAGACTGCACAGCCCGAAGTCCCTCACCCGTGAGCCGAGAAGGCGAATGCGAATCCACGTGAGCTTCACCCGAGATTCAAGCACACCACAGCTCCGTGGGATGGTGAAGACAAAGCATCGTAGTCATTCTTGCATTCAAGAGCATGCCGAGTCACATGTCTTGGTTAATAAGTACCGTGAACTTCCAAGTACGCGTCACCATGTCCGCATTTGCGGACCTACGGCGTCAGGAGTTCAAGCTGTAGAGACTGTAGAGGGCAGAGAATCGGGGAGTGGGATGTGCAGAGGGTGTTGGTCAGATGTCGTACATTTAGTTGCCTGCGATTTGCTGTGTAAAGCCCGGCGCTCAAATTGATGCTCAGGAAGATGGCGAGGCCCTGCTGCAGCTTGTTTTTGCTTAGGGTTTAGGTTTAGGGTGAAGGGTGTAGGGTTTAGGGTTAGTCTGGCACTCAATCTGTCACATTTCTGTTCGCCTGTGCTTGTGGGGCTCTGTGGACTTAGGTTTTTTCCCCCAAGCCGTGGTCACATATGGGCATTTCCGAAAAGAGGGTCCGTCTCTAGCATACCCCCAACACACCATATGGGAGACTTGGTAGATGGATGCGGGCCAGGTAAACCCGAAACCCTAGACTCTGAAGGGTTGCGAGTTCCGAGCTTGCGACGGGCACGGTGGCCAAGCTGGTTTAGGGATTAGGGTTTCGGGTTTGGGGTTTGGGGTTTAGGGTTTATTCGCGTGCCATCAGAAATGCTAGGACCTTGGAGTAGCCTTCCCTTGTGAGGTTTAAGAGGACTTTGTTTTGTTCAGCGGGTTTTAGGGCCAACCTCGGACATGTTTGCTTTCTGGCACTCGGAGAATTCATGGAGGCGGTTTGTATCGAGCGTCTAAGAGGGCCCGCACATGGTGCAGGTGCATAAGGAAGGTTTAGGGTTTAGGGCTGCACTCCCCCCCCCCCCCCCAAATCTATCCATAGCAGCGTGGCATGATGCCAACCTGTCTCCCGGAGCAAACTGTGCAGAATGCGGCAGAGCAAGCATGCGAAGTGAGCGCTAAACATTGGTGTGCTTGATGTTCTGGATTGGAAATTTAGTTACAGGTGAAAGTAAAAGACCTCCATGACTAAATGCAGGACCTAAACCATCAACCTCTGCCAGCACTTTTTTATTAAGTGGAGCCATTGCAGGAGCTCTTTACTTTCGGATGCCCTGCTACGCAGCTCATCGTGCTGCTGGATGGCTCGGTCGACGCCCGCTGCCCTGTATTCAGCTCTTCCCCTAAACCCTACGTATGCCCTGCCCTCCGCCGGCGCATCAACTTTGAAACACCATGGTGACAGGACGCAGAGCAGGCCCTCATTTTAATTTTTGTTGCTTCCTTTGTAAGCCCCTTTTAAACCAAAAAGGGTACCCTTTTTTTCCTGGGTTACTCCTTGGGTCTAGTCAAGGCGTTCGTGTTGATGTAGGTTTGATGCAGAGTCTGACATGCTTGGCCTGGGGCGTTATACAGTTTATAGTTTAATTTGGGTTTAGGGTTTAGGGTTTAGGGTTTAGGGTTTAGGGTTTAGGGTTTAGGGTTTAGGGTTTAGGGTTTAGGGTTTAGGGTTAATTTGGGGGGCGTGTGTCGTTTTGGGTTGAGTAGACCTTGGACGTTCAGGATTGGGCCCAGGGGTTCAAAATGGGGCTAGCAAAGGGTTCGTTTGGCTCAGGGCTTGGCAGAGGGTCTGGGGCTTCGGGCTTAGGGCTTATGTAAGGTTAGTATAGGATTAGTTTAGGACTTAGGGTTACTAGGGTTAAGGTTTATTCTTGTGCAATCAGCTGGGTTTAGGGTTTAGGGTTTAGGGTTTAGGGTTTAGGGTCTAGGGTCTAGGGTTTAGGGTTTAGGGTTCAGGGTTTAGGGTTTAGGGTTTGGGGTTTAGGGTATAGGGTGTGCCTGAGCCAAGTCCCCTGCACGAAGGTCACGCACCCGCCACCGTCGCCCGCGAAGCGGATGCCGCGGCACCACCTTAATGCATCTTGAGAGGATTTACATGGCCTGCGTGGGAATACTTTTTAAAATAAGTTTTGGGTACTATAATTTCTAAGAAGCAGTCAAGACTAAAACTCCAAGTTCAGTATAGACATGTGGGTGTTGTTTCAACTCGGGCCCTTTGGAAAGATGCAAATGTTGCCGTTCTGGAGCTCTGACACAGGTTTAGACGTCAGAGATGCCAGTTTGCACCTTGTGTCTTGTGTATAGGCCTTGTGTCTAGGTTCAGGGTGAAGACGGCATTGCTTGGCAGGTGCAGAGGGCACAGATAACCCTAAAGACTCACATTCCAGATGGTGCACTCTTTGCGTTCGGTGCTGTTCTGGCTCGTGCTGTGTATAGGGCTGCGGCAACTACAAGAAATTGTCTAAACCTACATGCGACAAGTTTGCCGAGGAAAAGAAGGGCGACGTCTACGTCTGGGAGGCCAAACCCCTAGACCCCAAGCCCTGAACTGTAAAGCCCTGCACTATAATTGCAACCGAAGCCAAAAGAACCCTGAGCCCTAAACCCTAAACCCAAAACCCTAAACCCTAAACCCTAAACCCTAAACCCCAAACCCTTTACACCTCAGACCGAACTTGGACCCTTACACCCTTCAAGCCTGAAGCTCCTCAACTCCCCCAACTCCTTTAAACCCTTACTATTGTTTGCATCAAATCCTTAAACCCCAAACCCCTGACTCCTGTAAACCCTTTAACCCTGAAACCCCAAACCCTTAAATCCTTTAACCCTTACTCTTTTACATCAAGTCGAAGCCAGGAGTTCACCAGGGCCAGGCGCGCTCGCTCGGGAGCCGTGTTTGGCGCCTGGAGCCTCAGTGTTGCGAGTTGCAAAGGACTAAAAAACCCGGAGTAAGCCCAAAAGGGTACCTCCTTCTTCCTAGGTTACTCTGGGGACTAGAGGAGAGTTTGTTTGGGAGATTATAAGCTTTATGGGGTTGGCTTGGGGCCGAGGAGCGTTTAGGGCCTTGTAGGTTTTGATGTTGGCTTGGGGTTGAGGTTTGGCGAGATTTGGAAAAGTAGGTGGCTTGTATAGGGCTTTGAGGAATGAGGATTTGGGGATTTCGGTTTGGGCCATTTGGGGTTTAGGGTTTAGGGTTAGGGTCCCTCCTTTGGTCCCTTAAGTTATCCTGTCATTCTGGTTACTCTTGGTTGCTACGTGGTACCCTTCTGCCCGTTTGGGTTTTGGGGGGATCCTTGATAGAAGTAAGCCACCCTCAATCCTGAACCCTTATTTTGAATATGGTTACAGGGGGCCACCAAGTACATCCATGCGGAGCATCTGCTATTGCTTAAGAACCCTAAATTGATACCCTCCTAAAACCAACAACCCCCCGGCCTAAAAAAACAATCCTGTAGCTGCCCTGTTTAAAGCCTCTGCCGAATTAGGGGGGTCGGAAGCCTGAAGCAGAAATCTGAAGCCTGAACTCTTCAAAGCCTTACCCGAACTCTGAAAGCCCGAAACCCTCAAGACTCTAGGGTTTCGGGATGTTTCGGGTTTAGGTGTTTATGGCTTGCTAAATGACTGAGCCAGCAAGCTCGAAGGACAGGCTGTTTGTTCGGACAAACGATAAGAACCCCACCCCCCCACCCCCCCTCTTATACTAACAATCCTTTTGGGGTTTGGAAGGGGGGGGGGGGTTCATACAAGGAGGGGGGGCGGGGGGGGGGGGGGGGGGGGGGTCCCGTCGAAGCATGACCTTCTTACTCCTGGGGTTCAGGGTTTGGGGGTTGGGTTTAGGGTTTAAGTTTAAGGGTTTAGGTTTTTGTTTTTTTGGGCTTTTTTGGGGTTTAGGGTTTAGGGTCAGGGGTTTCAAGTTGCATGCTCCCTCATTTTGTTCTTCCAGCTCACTTTTGCATGCTGCGAAGCTTGAGATTCCCAGGCTTTCGAGGAAGAGGTTTGGTTGCTGTAGGATGTCGCAGTCCTGAGCACCACACGAAGCAGGATTTGGGCTTGAAACAACTAAACCCTAAACCCCAAACCCCCAAACCCCTAAACCCTAAGCCCTAAACCCTAAACCCTAACCCTAAACCCTAAACCCTAAACCCTAAACCCAAACCCTAAACCCTAAACCCTAAACCCTAAACCCTAAACCCTAAACCCTAAACCCTAAACCTTAAACCCCAACCCAGGCGGTGGAGTACGCAAGCAGCAGCTTCGACTCGTCCTTGCAGCTGTGCGCGGGCGCAGCTTGGCGATTTCTTGGGGGTTTGGGGTTTAGGGTTTAGGGTTAGGTTTCAAGCTAGCTCTGCAGCAGAGGGAGTGCCAGCATTTGTCTGAGTACCTGTCTCTGGACACAAGCGTTCGGTAGCCTGCGCAGCACTGCCTTCAGGGTCCCTGTCCTGCGTTTGTTTTCTCCATGTTGTTGAAACTCCAAGACAGAGTCTCACTTTGTCCTGATGGCTAAAATCCGAGTTCCACGCACAAGCAAGCAAAGGCTCCTTAAGCTCAATGTTTCTAGAGCATCGAGTTCAGGCTTCAGGGGTGCATTCAGACATCAGAAGAAAGCAAAAACCCTAAACCAATAAGCCCTAAATGGGACCCTTATACGGCACCTTCGGGGTTGTATAGGGAATCAGATTAATGGTCCCTTGTAGCAGCCCAGCAGTCAATGAGGCTTGCCTGCGTTGCACTGGCACATCGGTGGGGAAAAGCGAGGCACAGCCGTCACAGACTGATTCTACACTGCCACTCTGGCTTAGCAGTCCAAGGGTTAGGGTTTGGTTTAGGGTTTAGGGTTTCGGGGTTAGGATCATCTAGGGAGGCCATGTGCGACTGTACTTCGCTAGCTTGCTACCCATGCAGTATCACGGCAGGTGCTTTAAGGTCGTTATTGCATGGGTGACTGGATAGCTGCGCTTGGGATGAGGCTATATCATGGTGGGTTGCCCAGTACCTGTTGAGGCGACAACCTAATCGTAGCCTGCAACCCCCTGCAGCGCACATCGCTCTCCCTCCAATCCCTCTCGGTCCCTCCGTTCCCTCTCTCGGTCTTCTCTCCGCTCCCTCTCTCTCTCTCTCCCAATCTCCTCTCTCTCGCTCTCTCTTGCTCTCCCTCTCCCTGTGGCTCTCCCTTTCCTCTCGCCCTCTTTCTCTCCCTCTCCTCCCTCTCCCAGTGCCTCTTTTCCTTTCTCTCTCCTCCGTCTGTCACTGTGTCCCTCTGCGGCGCATGTCCTTCGGTCTGTCAGTCGCTCTCTCTCTCTCTCTCTCCTTCTCTCTCTCTCTTCTCTCTCTGCTTCTCTCTCTCTTCCTCTCTCTTCTCTCTCTCCTTCTCTCTCTCCTTCTCTCTGTCAACGATACGCACGCAAGCCTGCTCTTGTACGACTTGGGGTCTGCGGGTTCGTGTGGCTCTGACAAGATGTTGAGTGAAAGCTGACCGTCCATCTCGCACGCCCTCCTAGCATATTTCACCCATGTTGTTCCTAAAGCCCTAAACCCTACACCCTAAACCCTAAACTCTAAACCCTGAACCCTGAACCCAAAACCCTAAACCCTAAACCCTAAACTGTACGAAAGAGCAGGTTCTGGTCATACCCTTCGACACCTTGCGCAGTAAGGAGTTGGAGGCTGGGCGCTGCCGGAACTGAGCTCCCTGAACCCTGACCCTCAACCTCAACCCTAAACCCTAACCACCCGAAGCTTACACAGCCACGGAAAGTCAAACTTTTAAACCCTAAACCGGAGCAGTGGGACGATTTGCCTGGTGCATCCTGCTTCTGATAGGAACCCAGACTTGCGCTGGTGCTACGGCCCTGTCCTGAGCTAGGGGCAAGTAGGAGTTCTGGGATCTCCTACCGAAGGGTCTAGGTTTTAGGATCTTGGGGGGGGTGGCCAACTAAGGCTTAGTGAAGGGGTACTTTGGGCCTTGTTCTGGGTAGGGAGTAGTTCGGGCTAGGGGCAATACACTGATGCCTTCTTTTCTTTGTGGGAGGGGGGGGGGGGTGGTTCCCCTGCAATCCCCGTTCAAGACAAACGGCAGCCTTTTTGGTCTAAGCCCAAAACCCTTATGAACCGAGGATCCTATGAAAAAGCACAGGCCCTGTCAGAACACAAAGCAACGGGAAGCTGCGGCCAATGCCCCCACTTTGGCAACCCTAAACACGAAAAACCGCGAGCACTTCGAGGGTTCTCTTGGGGGTTCTGGCGGTTGCTGCAGCTGGAGGGCCAGTACTGTGGGCGGCGGGTAATTACTCTACCTTATTCACGCAGAACTTAGCTTAGCTCATGGCCCGACCCAGAACCTTCACGTAGCTGTTCTTCAACAGGCTTCTTGAGGGAGGGGGGTTCATGGGGGGGTAGGTTCCTAGGGAACCTTACCCCCCTCCCTTAAGAACCCTTTATTCTCCGAGGACGTGGCTATCGCGCCTGGTATCAAATGCCCTCATCGCCTCCACCCACAATGCCCCAGCCTCGGCGTCTTACCCCCTAAAGCCCTGAACCCTAAATCCCAAAGCCCCCCAACCCCCCTCTCCCTTTTTGGCTTGGCTCCCGGAACTTTGCCGGTTTAGGGTTTGGGATGTAGGGTTGAGGGTTGAGGGAAACCAGGTGCATTCGAATTCCTGGATTGGCATCAGCACGGTGTGTCAGAAAGGGCTACTTAGGTACATAGGGACTATACAAGGTATATAGGGCTACAGAGGGGAATAAGCTTAAGCGTCCGTTCTAGGGGTCCCTTCTTCTTGGAGGTTCACGGCACTTATGAACCAATTATATCTGTACTTATAACCCACTTATGAGCCCCTTAAGTGCCCTAAGATGGTTATAAGTACAGTGATAAGTACAGTTATAATTGGTTAATAAGACCCTAAACCCTAAACCCTAAACCCTAAACCCTAACCCTAAACCCTAAGTATACCCCTTAAAGGGAGCGGTGCCGGGCCGAGGACCCCCTCAGCAATCTTCATTGGAGGGAGCTCCGGCCATGGTCTTGGCTCTGCTTGCCAAGCGCATTTGTGTTCAGATCTCAACCCTAAACCCTAAACCCTAAACCCTAAACCCTAAACCCTAAACCCTAAACCCTAAACCCTAAACCCGGCCCTAAACCTAAACCCTAAACCCTAAACCCTAAACCCTAAACCCTGACTGGTCTCACACTTTCACAGGTGCTGTAGAGAGTCAGGGAGTGTTGGGGTGATGAAGGCTTGAGACTGCCAACTTCTGATCCACAGCTCTTCCTCTACGATGGGGGCAATTCCTCAGCAGGAGAAGCAAGTGGGAGAATTGGCCAAGCTATGCTGAGTTATGCTAAGTTAGAGTACCTGATGAACAAGGGGCCCGATCTGAACTGCTCATCCCACACGCGCACGCTCGCACCGCCAGCAAGCACGTGGACTAACGGAGTCCCCGCAAGCTGAACACGATGCACACTGCAACTTCCCCTCGCAAGACAGTCTGTCAGACACCCCGCGCGACGAAGGGGCACGGATGTCCAATGTTATAACATCGGGTGTGCTTCGGAATCGAGAACCACCGTCCCCTTCAAGCAGGCGAGTGATAAATGTGCAGCTTTCCTAATTTGGATATCCCAAAAAGGGTTGACCCCATAATGGTGATCGGAGCCCCAGACGGGACCATCAATCAGAATCCCAAGTCCTTCGTCTTCGGCCAAGGTTCCAAAGCCAAGACTGCAATCTAACGGTGGCTCACTCAGGGCTCCTGTGCGAGTGGAATGCCTAGGCTCAGTGATATATCTGGACTCAGCTCACCGTCGCTCACCGTATCCCTCAACCTTCAACCCTCAAGCCTGAACCGCGTAAAGCTTTACCCTAGACCCGGAACCCTAAACCCTAAACCGTAAACCCTATTATAGCCTCGGGTACCTGCCAATGCAAGCCGTGCTGCAAAGGTCGTGTGATGGGCTGGCGGATCTAATTACCGCGTTATCCTTCCCACCCTGTTAGTGACCGCTAGTGCTAGTCTGGGTCCTTGAGTCACACCTTGTCGAATGTTGATGCTTGCTACAGCTTGACGTTGCTAGAAACAGGTTGTGCGCAACTACAGTTCCAGCAGGCTATAGTAGTTTCGGCAAATCTCTGCGGGACTCAAGGCCGCCCACTCCAGGACCTAGCCTCCGCTTTTATTGCTTTTGAATTTACCTTCGGCACGCTTGTGTCACTTTTCTTTAGATCAGCTGTTGCGCACAGCGGGTCTGGATGAAGTCCAAGGCAAGCAGGCGCAATGACCCCAATGGTATAATCAAGACTGCCGCCGGCTCAAAAAATCATGTCCTGCCGGAATGCGCCTACCCCACTGTCACGAGTGCGAAGCAGACGCAAGACGTGTGCCCAACACAAGCCTGTGCGGCAGCACTTCGCAGGTCCTAGCAAGTCTTGGTGTACTGGGCCACACAGGAACTGTGAGTCTGAAGATAGTCGCGTCTAGAGCTGGTGGAGTAGCTTCTTGCGCCTTCGAATGTTGTACTATACACGTCTTCTGAAGAATGCAATTTCTGCTCGAGCCACCAAACAAGACTCGTCGCATATACTTTCCCCTAACCGCAGGTGCCGGGGGCATCAACATAAAAGCCTGCTTTCCGTGAACAGTCAGATTGGGATGACTACTACTTGCTAAGAACCCCCCAAAAACACAAACAATAATCCCTGTATTATCCTTATAATGAAGAGTATTTACAATTCTTGGGGGGGGGGGGGGCTTCTCAAGCAATTCGTGGATGAGGATCGTGAGACCTCTGCTGCGAGCCATAGCTGTGCACCCATTCCCATGCCATGCTGGAAACACTGACGCCTGGCTCTCGTGCAAACCAAAGAATACTAGGCTTTAGGGTTTAGGGTTAAGGGTTTAGGGATCCGGAGTAGGCCTAATTTGTCCTTATTTCCTGTTTTTAGGGTTGGGGTTTCCCTTATAATCCCCTTCAAACCAAAACCCCATCATCGGCAGTGGGCTGTTTTGCAAAGTTGCAAGATGGGTGTTTCTGAAATCAGGGCGTACCTTCATGGGGTCCTGCCAAAAAGCGAATCCTACTACTTGGGGGTCTATATTTGGGGTCCCGTATTTTCGTACAGCAACATCGCCGAAGCAAATCGATTGCCACACCCTCTGTCCCGCCCTCACCCGACTCAGCCCATTCGTGCTGCGGACCGTGCCACACTGCGAGGTCTCTAAAGGAGAGAAAGTCATAGACCGCCAGCGAGCAGGCCAACAGGAAAGGGACTTCAAAATGGCTTTGGAGGTCATCGACCCTAAACCCTAAACCCTACACCCTAAACCCTAAACCCTAAACCCTACACCCTAAACCCTACACCCTAAACCCTAAACCCTAAGCCCTCAACAATAACTGTCAGATGCCATTCGGGAAGCGATGCCAAGCCTGCGGCAGCTCAGGCGGGAGATCTTTCAGCGTGAGGCCACTGCTTGTTGCCTACTCATTGCTTAAGAACCCCGCAGAAATAGACATATTCTTCCTTATTGAGGGTAATATATAGGGAGTGTTTGCTATTTTTTTGGGGTTCTTAAGCAAAGAGTAAATGTCATGCTGTAACTTGAGAAGCCTTCATGGGCATGCGGCTTGAGAGCTTTCAGGCTGCTTAAAGAGATGGTGTCGTAAAAATGTCGCAACGCGCACGCACTTGCTGGCACTTGTAACAGCAGAATCACGCGCCTTTGCAGCCGAATTTGGCACAAGCCGACTCTTCGGCAGCCGCTCGCCTGAAGGGGCGTGGGGGCTCATATCCCTTGTTTGATGAAACACATCTTCATTTCCATGCGCATCGCCGACGCCTGGGAGTTTGAGACTCGGTGTTAAGGCGGTTAGCCGATGAGGCTATGGGCCTTTCTTTTCCTAGCCTCTGCAGAGCGCATCTACGACTTTCTGGATGTAAAGGTCCACCCCTTTCCCACGTCCTGCAATGGAACCCAAGCTTTGCAGGGTAACTACACTGTGGAAGTTGCCGCCACCATCCCAACATCATGTCGTCTACAAGGCCGGGGAGCCACAGTCCTGCTAAAGGCACCTTTGACCTTCTCCGGGGATGTGATCATGGAGGGCGACATTGCCTGGATCGGGGAGGAGCCTTTCAGTCAGGCCTGCGTGGCAGCGCGCAGCCTGCAAATTGGCGGAGGCAGCTCGAAGGACCGGATCAGCTTCCAAGACTGCCACAACAGGAAGAGCTTTGGGGGGGCACTCCTCGTGGAGGACAACTTGGCGGTTCTGCCTCATGCGGCTCTTTCTGTGCAGCAGTGCAGCAGTTTCAAAGGTGGAGGCGGCGCCTACGTTAGTGGCACGGTTATGCAGGAGGGGCGTCTTGAGATGTCCGGATGCCACAGTGGAGGTGGGGGGGGCGGCTTGCAAGCTACGATCGGGCTGGTGCAGGGCCCAGAGGGTGTGATGAGCTTCTCTCAGTGCCAGGCTCAGGATAGTGGGGGGGGGCTCTTGGTGGAAGGTGATCTACAGCTTCAGGGGAAGCTGCGTGTGGAGGACTGCGCTTCCGAGGCCCAGGGAGGTGGAGTCGCCGTTCACGGCACCCTCTTGCAGCTTGCGGGAACCATTGGCTTCCAAAATTGCACAGCTGCTGTCGCGGGTGGGGGGCTTCACGTGAGCGCCTGGAATCAGACGAAGGGCTTTGCAAGCTTTCGACTCTGTCAGGCGGGGGCAGGGGGAGCTGTCTTCAGCAGCGGCGATGTGCACCTCGCAGGGACGAACCAGTTCAATGTCAGCAAGGCCAGCAATGAAGTCAGCAAGAGGAGAACGAGAGGAAGCGGTGGTGGCATGTCGATCAGGAAGGGCAACCTGGTCCAGCACGGCGGTTCGATGAGTTTCTTCCACTGCGAAGCCGAAAGTGGTTACGGCGGAGGCTTGTCTCTGGACAGTGGTTTCCTGCACCAGATGAGCGAGGCCGTCATGGTCTTCGTTCGCTGCAAGGCTCACTCAGGGGGAAGCTGGCGAGTAGGTGGCGAAGTTCAGCTTCAGGGAAGCATGTCATGCTCAAACTCCGAAGCAGACTATGGGGGCTGCGGAACACTCGGCAGCAGCATTACGGTGGTGGGTGGAGAGCTATTTTTCACCGGATGCATGGCTCGAACTGAGGCCGGCGGATTGATGGTAGCGAAAACCTTCGTCCAGGAAGCCGGCACGGTGTCTTTCAACACCTGCAGGAGCCAACATACAGGAGCAGGTTGCCTGCAGGTTGGCGCCTTGAAACAGTCTAACGGTTCCCTGCGCCTTGCTGGCTGCACCTCTCAGACGGGTTCTGGGGGAATAGTCAGCAAAGGCCCCGTGGACCTGGCTGGCTCCAACGTGTTCAGCGACTGTTCAACCAAATCGTCAGGGGCTGGCCTGTCGATTAAGGTAGGCAACCTCGTCCAGCACGGTGGGTCGACGCGGTTCGAACGATGCAATGCAGAAGGAGATGGTGGAGGCGTGTACCTCGATCGGGGCTCCTTACATCAGAGACTTGGTGGCCCAGTAGTGCCCTTTTGCCCCCCTTTTTTCGTTCAAGGTTCCCTTATAAAGCAACTACAACCCCACAAAGGGTACCCTGATTATGAGATGTTGGGCTACGAAGGAAAGATGGCGTCATGGACTTCCTCAAGTGCTCCGCGAATGGAAGAGGAGGCAGCTTGCGCGTGAAGGGCGACCTGATCGTCAGGGGCAACCTTTCCTGCTCAGGATCTTACGCCAGGGTGGATGGGGGTGGGGCCATTGTGGGTGGCAAGCTGAAGCAGCTTGGTGGGCACTTGGTATTCAAGAAGTGCACAGCGAAACGTGGAGAAGGTGGAGGGGGAGCGCTGGTAAAGTTCGTGGTGCAGGAGGGCGGGACGATGTCCTTCCGAGGATGCGAAGCCAATGGAAAAGGAGCAAGTTGCCTGCAAACTCGAAGCTTGACGCAGCCTGGTAGCCCAGTGGTACCCATTTGCCCTTTTTGTTGGGTTCTAGGTTCCTTTTTGAAGTAGCCCTGAGCCCATAAACAGGGCACCACTTGTTGCAAGATGGTTGCTGGGCTACCAAGGCAGCGAAATGGCTCCATGCAGGTTACAGGCTGCAAAGGGGGTGACAGCGGGGCAGTTCTCAGCAAAGGCCCGGTAGAGCTGGCGGGCTCCAACCTTTTCTCCCACTCATCGAATGAGAATGGGGGTGGCTGCCTCCTGATCAAGGAAGGGAACCTCACCCAGCACAGGGGCGTGACCGAGTTCGACCGGTGCAAGGCTGGCAAAGGTGGTGGTGGTTTGCTCTTGGAAAAGGGCTCCTTACATCAGAAGGCGGAGGGCACGATGGTTTTCTCCAATTGCGAGGCGCGTGCTCTGCGTGGTGCTGCACCTGCTGCTGTTGCCGCTAGCAGTGGTGGTGGCTTGCGGGCCAATGGTGCACTTTACCTGCATGGCCACCTCTCTTTCAAGGGCTGCAAGGCCACGGTCTTCGGCGGCGGAGCGCAGGTGACTCTTTTAAGACAGCTTGGCGGGACCCTGGTCGTGGAAGGGTGCTCTGCAGGCAGTGGTGGTGGGATGCATGTGAGGCGGACCTTTGCCCAGGATGCTGGGAAGGTGTCCTTCCGAAATTGCACGGGTAGACGCGAAGGAGGCTGCCTGTACACAAGAACCCAGGTTGCCTTTCAGGAACTTGAGTTTTCCATTCTTGCCTAGTAAGACTTCTCATAATAGTTCACAGAACTAAATTTGACTAGGGTTTAGGGGTTTCGGGGTTAGGGTTTAGGGTTTAGGGGTTAGGGTTTAGGGTTTAGGGTTTAGATTAAGGTCCCTTGTTGGGTCCCCCATATGGCCAGTTCTCTAAATCATGGTCCCTTTTTGGATACCCTCAAGAATAGGGTCGCCTTATCCTAAAGGAACCATAGTTTAGAGAAATCATTCTAGAATACGGCACCCTGACAAGAGGGACGAAGGGACTCTGGCTTCCAGAAGTACCCAACTGCAGCCAACGGCAACTAAACCCTATAAATTCCTATAAACCCTAAACCCCAAACCCTAAACCCTAAACCCAGGAAACTTCAACCAGTCGGGCGGCTCATCGGAGTTCGTGCACTGCCGTGGCCAGGATACTTGGTAGCTGAGGGGCACCCTTTTGCCCGTTGTTGGTTGATGGGTCTGGGGTTTGGGGTTTAGGGTTTTGGGTTTTGGGGTTTAGGGCGTTTGGTTTTCCATACAAAGGCAAACAAAACACCAAACTGGGTACCCGTACCATAAGACATCGGTTTCTGGGGCACCCCAGGAGAATGGGGCCTAAACCCTAAACCCGAGGACAACGGGGGAGCCATCTACAGCTGGCGCGACGTGCACCTGGGCGGCTCGACCTTTCTTGCCAACTCCTCGGTGGAAACCGAGGATGCCCACGGCGGCTGCTTGTTGGTCGCAAAAGGAAACCTCACCCAGAGCCTTGGGAAACACATGAACTCTATTTTCTTGGGGTCATGTTACCGTATACTGAACTACTATGATCCCGATATGAATCCACCCTAGACTTATCTACTATGATCCCTATGAGATATGTATTTACCCTATACTCAACTACTATGATCCCTGTGATATAAAGATACCTTAAACGTTTCATAGGATTCACTGGGCCCACGCAAGGAGTGGCGATACCAAGTTCTCGGGGTGTGCAGCTTACCGGGGCCACGGTGGTGGCTTGGGCCTCCGCAATGGCAGCCTCATTCTCGCCGCAGGCACCACCTAAACCCTAAACCCTAAACCCTAAACCCTAAACCCTAAACCCTAAACCCTAAACCCTAAACCCTAAACCCGCTGCAGGCACCATGGACTTTGACAGCTGCACAGCTTCCTGGAACGGGGGAGGCGCCTTCGTGCCAGAGCATGTGGAGGTGATCTCCGGCAAGCTCACGTTCCTCCGCTGCCGCTCGAAGGGCTGGGAGGGGGGAGGGGGCCTCTACGTTTCGGAGGGTGACCTCCTTCAGCATGGCGGCGCCACGCACTTCCAGGATTGCAAGGCAGCAAGTGGAGGTGGTGGTGGGGTCCACATCCAGCAAGGCGCCCTGCAACTCCTCGCGGGCAGGATGAGCTTCGAGCGGTGCGCGGCAGATGGAGCCCAGGGCGGTGGCGGCTTGCTGCTCACGCAAGGCGACTTTGGTAGCCCGGTGGTAGCCTTTCTCCCTTTTTGTTGGTTCAAGGTTCCCTTATATAAAGTACAGAGACCCCAAGAAAGGGTGCCCTTATCATGATAAGGTTACGGGGCTACCAAGGCGACTTTCGGCAGGCGGCAGGATCCGCCCTGTTCTCATACTGCGCGGCAAGGGCGGGCTATGGCGGCGGCTTGAATCTCATCGCTGGCTCCTTACACCAAAGCTCCACTGATGGCAGCCTCAACTTTTACAATTGCGAGGCACGTGCTGGGGGCGGCGTCGCTGTCAAGCGGAATGCCACGCTCCTGGGTGCAAGTACCTTCAACAGCTGTGTTGCCCGCAGCCGCAGTGCAGAACGAGGGGGCGGTGGGGTCTTTCTTGACAAAGGCTACCTGCACCTCCATGGAAGCTTGCACATGACAGACTGCAGCACCATGAGCAATGGCGGCGGCGTGCTTGTAAAGAGGGGTGGCATCATAGCGATCGGAAACGTTTCCGTGACCAACTCCAGCGCACGGAGGAGTGGAGGTGGTATCTACCTGGCTGGAAAGATGGAACAACTGGGCGCTGGAGTGATCGAGTTCCGCCATTGCGCAGCGTACAGTGCTCATGGTGGTGGCATGTGGGCTGGAGGTCTGTCCAGCCACAGTGAGATCCTTTTCGACAGCTGTACTGCCGGCAACGTAGACGGGAACGGTGGCGGGCTGGCCATTGAAGGAGCCGTCGAGCAGACTGGCACGATGAGCTTCCTGAAATGCTCAACAGGTGGGAAAGGCGGTGGATTCTACGTGAATTCCACTCGCCCTGGAATGCTGCAGCACATAAGCTTCGATCAATGCAGCACAGTTGGCGTGGCACACTCGCTTTTCTCCACCGGCCCGCTCAATATCTCGGACTTGAAGCTCTTGTGCAACTAGGACCGGGAGTAGGCCCTTTTTTCCTCTTTTTAGGGTTGGGGTTACCTTAGAATCCCCTTAAAACCAAAAGGGTACCCTTTTCTTCCTAGGTTACTCCCGAGTCTAGGCAATGACGCCAATGACGTGTGCGTCGACGTTCACAGCGAGCTATCCATGGCAGGAGTGCGGATGAAGAGCAACGGTAGTCGTGGTAGCCCAGTGGTACCCTTTTTCCCCTTTTTGTTGGTTCGAGATCCCCTTATTATCAAGTAACCGACCCCCAAAAAGGTTGCCCTTAGTAAAATATGGTTACTGGTACCAGGTAGTGTCAGCATCCGGGCATCGGCACTGGACAGTGGCCGCATCAGTTGCACCGACACCAAAGCTTGTCACTTACTAGCCAATAGCTGAACTTTAAACCTTTTGGGTTCCCTAATTAATGGGAAGAATAAAGTTAAGCCTTTTGTTCCCTTGGTTATTGGAGAAACAAGGTCAGCTACTCACGCCAAAGGCTTCCCGCAGCATTGCCGGACTGGTTTGCCCGCTGGGCACTGGCGTCAATGACACGGACGGCGAGAAGAGCTGCGAGACGTGCAGTGACAACTACACCCAAGTACAGCTGTCCACCACTGCGCCTTGCAATGTCTGCCCCATAGAGAATGAGTTCTGCTATGCGAGGAATTTCAAGATGAAGCCTGGTCACATGGTTAAGGACACAAATGTCAGCTTCACCTACTACTGCCCCAACCCAGCGGCATGCCCAGGAGGGAACTCCAGCAATTTCACGAGCATGTGTGCCAAAGGATACACAGGAAAGTCTTGTGCCAGATGCAGCCAGGATCAGGGCTTCGCCATATCGGACAGCAGCGTGCTCTTGTGCACCCAGTGTGCCTCGCAGCAGTGGAAGCAGTACGCCCAGTGGGGCTACATGCTCCTGAAGCGCGTGGTACCCTTCGGCCTGTCAGCCGCCAGCGTGCTGAAGGGAGATGCCGAAGTAAAGCCAAGTGGTGTCCTCATCAACCAGCTCATGTCCTTTGCCACGGTCGCAGGTATGCTTCTTACGGTGATGGCACAGACTGCGGCCATGGAGCAGATTAAAGGAAATGCTGGGGCGGCTTTTGATGCCGTGTTTGGTGTGCTGGGCGGCGTTGCAGATATGGCCTCAGGAGCCTAAACCCTAGACCCTCAACCCTAAACCCTAAAACCTCATAAACCCTAAACCCTAAACCCTCAGGACAGGCAACATTCGAGGACTCGTCTGGAGGCATGTCTTCCATTTGCTTGTTGTGGTACATTGGCTTCTCTGGAATGCTCTGGCAGGCTGGGTCTTTCGAACAAAAATGCTGTTTAAGCTTGCAGTGAGCACGTGAGCAGATGCTGCAGAGGACATGCTGTGTTTCGGAGCTCTCTCATTTAGTTTTACCTACAGCTCATACATGTTAGCTTCAGTTCAGAAAGAATTGCAAGTCGCCTTGAAATCCCCGACATGCCAGAGGAACCCCCCCCCCCCCGCCCGAGAACCGAGCAGGGCCAAGAGTCCCAAACAGAGGCCGCGAACCCACTCCCACACTCCCCAATTCTCAGAATCCTCAACCCTACCCATACCATCTCAACGCCGTTTCCCCTGTCCCCCCCTCCCCCACCTCAGCGCGACAAGGCGACACACCCATCATGGCGGCATAGATACGAGAAAGGAAGAAGAATAGAAGCAGCCGCAACTCCAACAGCAACGCGGCCTACCTCTGCCACCAGGGCCTCCGTCACCCCAACAGCAATAGCAACCTTCTCGCCCTCATCATCAGCACAATCATCATCACACCGCAACTACCATCACCACCACCGCCACCGCCACCAACACCACCAGTTCCACCTACCGTCTGTCGATTGTCAGATTTTTGCCAGGGCGATGCAGTGAAAGTCAAAACGCAAGAGCAAAATCGTTTCTCTCCGAACATCGCCACCCTACAGGCACAGGGGTTGTGACTCCAGGGACACTCTGGGGATACTCGGGGTGGGGACGCTCTAGGGAGACTCTGGGTTTGGGCATTCCAGGGTGATGTACGAGGAGTAGACCGGGCGAAGGAGAAGAGTTTAGTTTAGAATCTAACAACCCCACACCGCAAGGTGGCGAGAAAGGAAATGGTGGCGAAAGCCGGACAAAAAGGCTAAATCTTAAACTCTACTGTAAACCCCACCATGATACTGAGCCCCTGTAACCTGCAACCCTGGCCTCAAATCGGAAACTGAGCACCGAAGCTGCCGACCTGAACACTGGTGTCAACCCTGAACCGGACCCGACAAAAACAGTAAAGACACCACGAGGCTTTGGGGGTTACGTGGCGCAGGGTTGAGCCAGTCGCTCAACGCCTCTGTAACTCCCGACAGACATCCCAAACCCTACCTAAACACCCTAAATTTGCAAGCCCGAAACCCTAAACCCTAAACCCCAGGTTCACCTCCTTCACAGCCTGGTGCCTGCCTTGTTGGTGGCAGGGTTGATGGCATTTCTCCCCCACGAGAAACGCCGAGTGGCCATTGTGGTTGGGCTGAACTGCTTCTGGCCGGAAGCTCGGTAGGTCCTGGCCTGGGGATATTTTATACTTTCCCTTATTTGGTGATTAGGATCATATTTAGGAATAGTCTTTTCCGAGGGTTTATAGGGGGGGGCATCTTAGGAAGTCTTCAGCTTCTTCGGCAAGCATCTCTACTGCTACCAGTATGCCCCGCAGCTGATCAAGCGCGATGCCTTTGAGTGCCCTTTCATGCCTGACCCAACGGGTCGTCTAGTTCTACGTGTCCTCGCCGTGCTCATGATCTTGGCTGTGGCTGGCATATGGGTCCGCCTGTCTCTTCCCAGCAACTTAGGGGTACTTGGAAATAGTTTTTTATTTTGGGGTACATAATTCCTAAGAAACAGCACCCTAAATCTAAACCCTAAACCCTAAAATATAATTTTTGCTGGGGTTCCAAGTTCAGTATAGGCAAAGGGAGCCAAGAGAGCCCAGGGAGCCTCCCTCTCCACGTCCTCTTCTTGACCAAGCCCTACAGGCCCGGCGTCGCCCTGTGGGAATCTTGGTAGCCCACTGGTGCACTTTTCGCTTTTTTTTTTTTGGGGGGGGGTTCAAGTTTCCCTTGTAAAGTCGCCAAATGCCAAAAAAGGGTGCCCTTGCCTTACTGGCTCAAAACGCAACTTTTCAACTTTTTGGGCTTCTTATAAGGTAGTTTATTCTGAAAGTTTCAACTTTCATTTGCTTGGGTTTTGGGCCAGTAAGTTACCATAATTAGGTTGCTGGGCTACCAAGGAATCAGAGCGCCTCTTCAGAAAGACTCTTCTCACCATGGCGGTCTCAGCACTCCCGATCACGTCATCCCCGGCCCTACAGCTTCTTGGTAGCCCAGTGGGTTTAGGGTTTAGGGTTTAGGGTTTAGGGTTTAGGGTTTAGGGTTTAGGGTTTAGGGTTTAGGGTTTAGGGTTTAGGTTTCAGGGTTTAGGGGGGTTCTGGGTTCCCTTACAAAGTAACCAACCCAAAGAAGGGTGCCCTTATCATGCTGGGCTACCAAGGCTTGCGTGCATTGGCTCCATCGTCACTGTGTCCTTGATCCTCTATATCGCGCTGCTTCCCTACAAAGCCTTACGCTGGAATCTGACGGAGTGCGCCCTGCTCCTTACGGCCGTTTTCATGACGGTGCTGGTGTTTGGCCTCACAGCCTACGATAGCTACTGGGGCCGGGACATCGCCTTAGAGTACGGGATGATCATGGCGGCAGTCGCGCTGGCAGGCAGCTTCTGCTTGGTGATGATGTACCTCATCTACCGGGAGCTCATGCAAGAGTGGTACAAGCAAAAGCACCCTGTGGAAGCTGAGGGTCACCCTGTGGAAGCTGAGGGTCCCCGAGGCGAAACAAACGATTCCCTGCTGTGGCTGAAGTTCATCTGAGTCTGGGTAGCCCAGTGGTACCCTTTACTTTTTTTTGGGTTCTGGGTTCCCTTATGAAGTAACCAACCAAAAAAAGGGTGCCCTTATTATAATGTGGTTCCTGGGCTACCAAGGAGTGCTCTTTCACGTCGGCCATAGCACGGACCAAACCCTCCGCAAGGCTGCAAAACAGCGCGAGAAGCTTTGATCTGGCCCAGATTGCAAAGTGCTCGCGAGACCTGTGCTTGGTAAGCCCCCAAAACTCTATAAACCCTATAGGAACCCCCTATTTACCCTGTCAACCCTACAAACCTACAAAACCTGAAGCCCTTAATACCCTATAAGTTATAGCCTATAAGCCCTATAAGCCACAACCCGCCTGAAGTGTGCAGGTGATAGACGGAAGAGTGGAGGAATGGCGGGAAACAGCAGTTTGAAAAGTTGGCTTTAGTGCGCCTAGGGCCTCAGCGGCATGTTTGACTATGGGGGGGAGAAGGGGGTTTGTTCTACATCGAGCCTGCCCCGCCCTTTTCCAGACAACAACCCGCATTATACGGGGATCTCAGGGAAGCTGCAACCAGCTACGAGGGATCTTGTGCCTGTCGGGGCTACAGGCTAACTTCAGCCTCTGTCAAAGCTTTGCGCTTCTTGTTGGCGACTTCAGGAACGAAGAAGCACCTGAAAAGGCACCGTGATTTCCTTCAACTCCACACCTGCGGTGGCTACAGGCAGACATCCTGAGAGACCCCCCCGGTTCGAACCAGACAGGAAAAGTGTCACGATTCCCCGACAACTTCAACGAGATTATTACCACAAAATAGCCCCTCCGCATGGCTCCTACCACCAGCGATTCGAAGCATTCACACAAGTACCTCGAGCATGTGTTCCACTCATCCTTCCGCAGTTTTCTTCCAAGCTTTGGACGTATGTGTCAATGACATGAGGCGTGGGAGTTACTGGTCAAAGCCATGGTTCGTGAGGGGAGACTAGGACAGCTCACACACACACAACACCTCAACTCCGATACAAAAAGCATGTTGGAGCACGACACAAGGTAGCCGACTGCCAGCACAGGAGCAGCTCAGTCACTGGCCGCGAAACCCTCGGCCCTCGATCCTATAATCGCGGTTCTAACTTGCAAACAGACGAGCATGCCATTGTGACGGCTGTGCAGCCTGGGCGCGATGGCAATGTCGGAGCTCTTTTTCGTGCCCGCCCTGGAAGCAAGATCTATCTAATTGTTTTTCAATGTCCAAAGCAGGTTATAACCCTACGAGTGTTCCCTAAGATAATGTTGGGGGCCCGCCAAAAGGCACCCTCATTCAGAGAACGGCGCCTAAAAACCCTAACAGAAGTTAAACCTCCAAACCCTAAAAACTAAACCCGAAACCCTAATAGCCCTGAACAGAAGTTAAGCCTCCAAAAGCCTGAACCCTGGCTGCACTCAAAGGCCGGATGTTTTTTCTTCATCGTCGCGGTTGCGGCCTCCTTGCCTGGCTCTCGGCATGATTGAACAAGTAGAGAACGGTTCCAGGGCTTACAAGGAGGGCCCTCAACCCTAAGCCCTAAACCTGAAATCCTAAACCCTCAACCCTAAACCCAAATCAGTCAAGGGACTTGCAAGTTCATTTTAGGACCCTTGCAACTCTGCCATATTGCTGCCCCTGCTGTCGGGGTCTCGTAGCCTCAACGCCAACTCTACGCCTGCAGACAAGCCACATGGTCAGTTTCCGTGAACGAGTGTCCCTGTTTAAGGGTACCTTGTCAGGCTCTTGTATCCTAAGTTAGGCACCCTTTTTGGGTGCCCATCATAAGGCGGCACCCTTTAGAGAGAGATCCCAAAAAGAGTGCCCAGGCAGTGGCCTTCACTTCGGATTCAGGGTTTGAGGATTAGGCGCTCAGGGGCCTGCGGCCGCAAGGAGGCTTGGAACTTCAACTGTTTGGGGCAAAGGCCACAATAAAGAGAGTTCAGGTTTACTTGAGGGTTCATGGGTACGTCTATGTAGGGTTATCGGTAGGGTAGCTATGTGGTTATACCCTAGTTTAGGATATTCGTAACCCTACCTATAAGTACTCATGAACCTCCAAGTAGACCCCACAGCCACAACCCTAAACATCCCCTAGACCCTGAACATCCCTAAACCCTAAACCCTAAACCCTAAACCCTAAACCCTAAACCCTAAACCCTAAATCCTGAACCCCAAACCCCCACAAAACCGGGCAACCCACCAGGATGGCCTACGTTGCCTGGAGGGGCTCCAAGTCTGCCAGCTCAGTTGTCAGGTGGCTCTGGGGGGGGAGGGGGAGTTTAGGGTTTATAGGGTTTTCAGGGTTCATAGGGTTTAGGGTTTAGGGTTTAGGGTTTAGGGTTTAGGGTTTAGGGTTTAGGGTTTAGGGTTTAGGGTTTAGGGTTTAGGGTTTAGGGTTTAGGGTTTAGGGTTTAGGGGGCTTATCGTAGTGAGGCTTCTAAAAAGTGTCTGATTTCATGCATTTGGGGGTTTGGGAAGATTGGTCAAGTTTGCCTGGCGCTCGTGTTGAGCTCGTGCTGACGATCATGAGTTATCGGTGCCCAGCCCGGCCCAGGCCCAGCGAATTCTTCGTGGAGGCTCGGCTCAGGGCTTCGGGTTTCGGGTTTAGGGTTTCGGGTTTAGGGTTTAGGGCTCTGAACTTTCCAGGAAGATTCTAAGATGGGCTGATTCTCGGCCTTTGAATGTGAGGGCCGTCAAAGAAATGCGCTGGTGCAACGAACGGGCCTGCGCGGTACTTGAGCTCAAAAAAGCACAGCCTTTTAGCCAATTTTAGCCCTAAACCCTAAACCCTAAACCCTCAACCCTAAACCCTAAACCCTAAACCCCAAACCCCAAACCCTAAACCCTAAACCCTAAACCCTAAACCCTAAACCCGCAGCCGTGCATGACTGAAGCGTTGCTTGCGCAGGCTGTGCAAGAGACGTGCGCACCCGCCGGTCAAAAACATTGGGGGTTTAAGGAGATAGGGGGGCCCCCGAAATACACCCCAAATGGTAGGATCCCCTTATACTAAGGACCCGAATAAGGTAGCCCCAAATATCATGAATAGACACCAAATAGTAGGATCCCCTTATAATAAGGACCCCACTAAAGGTACCCCAAATATCAGAAGCCCCCGTGTATTCAAACAGCCCTAAGGAAGTGGCAAGCCTTATCATTGCGCCAGCATCTCACCAATCTCACCTCAGTGGAGCTAGGATGCCCAGTAGTACCCTTATTCCCTTTTTGGGGGGCTTAGGTTTCCTTATAAACCCCTTTAAGCTAAAAAGTGCAGCCTAGGTTACTGGGCAGCCTAGGGAGAGACAGGTACCAATGCGAGCTGTCCGAAGCCGAGATCAACGCATACTACGAGCTGCCTGGGCCCTATGGAAGCCACAGCAGCGCCGAAGCATGGAACGCCCCCGTGGTCGAGTCTCTACATGAGGGTTTACGAATAGAAAGGACCCCAATAAGGTAACCCTAAACCCTAAACCCTAAACCCTAAACCCTAAACCCTAAACCCTAAACCCTAAACCCTAAACCCTAAACCCTAAACCCCACAGCTCAGCCAAAAAATAAGCCCAGGAAAGAGCGTCTTCGCCAGCAGAAGGCTCCTGAAGCGCCAGAGGAAGGCGCAGAAACAGAGGAGCGAGATCCTGATTCCTGGTCAGGGATGCTTAGGGGCATTAGGGAATTGGGTACCTTGAATGCCTTATAAGGCATAAAAAGTTTATATATATATATATATATACATATATATATATATAATCCTGCTGTATACCTCATTCCTTGCTAAGAACTGGCAAGCTCCAACTCGCTGCCAGGAGGAGCGAGATGCTTGGATGCGCCAAGTGCTCACAGTGGAGGACCGGTTCTGCCCATGTAACCCTAAACCCTAGACCCTAAACCCTAAACCCTAAACCCTATACTTCCAGGGACCCATGAGGTTGCTAGAAGCCTGAAGGACACAATCGTCAGGTCCCTGAAGGTATAGGGCAATACCACCCAAGACACACGGCGGACTCGCTCTGTATGCTGTATGCGACATTCAACCAGAAACCCCCTAAGCTCAAAGTCCAGTTCTTACATTTGCCAGGAGCGTCGGGTGCTACAGCAGGCGCTCATGAGGCTCTCATCGGAGAAGAAGTCCCAGTTTTCCAGATTCTTCCCCTGAACCCTAAACCCTAAACCCTAAACCCTAAACCCTAAACCCTAAACCCCAAGCTTGAGTCCATGCTGTGTTGGAAGGCGCCTTGTGAGCTGCCTCGTCCGGATCTTGGCTCTGGGTCAATCTTGTCCGAACAGAGTTTGGGATGTTCCCGCTTATACAAACAGTCCTGAGTAGGGATTGTAGTATAGGATTTAGGGTTCAGGGTTTAGGGCTTATATATTGATAGCCCCTATTCAGAATCATCATAGTACCCCCGATTATAATCCCTATCAAGGACTGCTAGTATAATAGGGAACATCCCAAGACAGAGTGTCGGTGAAAGCTTTTCGGGTGCAGCCGTCTCTCGCCCTAAACCCTAAACCCTAAACCCTAAACCCTCATCCCTAAACCCTCAGAAAAACTACTTCAAGCCAAGGATAGACTTGACCAGGTGCAGCGCGACAAGCCAGGCCATATCGTTCTAAGGGCCTAAGAGGACTTAGGGGGCTTATAAAGTACAGCTATAATAAATTACTGTACCCTCTCTGCTTTTTAAGGGAATTTCTAGGGCCCTATACAGGCCCTCTATTGTACCTATTTGCTTAACGCGGCTGTTGCCCATTTGGTCGCTGCCCCAAATCGGGGCACGCAGCAGGTTTTCTGCTCGGGCACGCCAGTCCATGCCTCCTCACAGACGCGCTCACGCGCACGCGCGCTGGTAGCTGACCTGACTTTCAAGGATGAATGAAGGATCCCTGATGCGGAAATCTGTGGCATCTTCCATATCTCGTTGTTGTCACGAATGGGGTGGAGGGTGGGGGCGGGAGGTTGGGTACACATCTTCCGTACCTACTTGTTGGG